AGTCTGCATTTCTAAAAGGATTAACTTACTTAATTTTAGCATATTCAACTGCAAAAGCTTTTCCGAAATCCAAGCAATCTTGTTATCAAAATGCTTTATTTTGTATAAGTTTTCTAAAAATTTGAAATCTTTTACTTAGATTATTTTAGAACGCTCAATTATTTAAACTCAAAAATTTTAAATATTATAGACTCATTTAATGATCAGTACCCTTTGATGTTATAAAAAATTTACACTTCATATTGTATTGGTTTAAAAAAAGTGCTAAATAAATCGAATTACTTTTTTAACTATTTTTTTTCTTTTAATGATGAATTTTAGAAGATAATATTTTTACATGCTTAATAATGCTGCATTTATTATGTTATAAATCTTTTTAAAAAATTATGATATACTGTTTTAGTGGATAACCCCTAAACAGAAAATATCAACTTCAAAGTAGTAATTCTAAACTTTAAAGATTTCTGGAGTTTGATGATTATATTAACTTTATTTCATCAAGGTAGGTAATTAATCTGAATCTAAATATCTTCAAGATTTAGTTAAGAATATATACATAGAACTCTTAGATTAAACATAAATATTTTTTTTATTTTCAATGTTTGATAATTTTACTATTATTTGACGATCTATTTATATAAAAACTTTAATCTTATTTTACACAAATTTAATCAAATATATTCAAAGACTTGTCATATATTTTGATTCTATTCAACCAAAATTATTAATAAGTAGAAAAATTTATGTCTCTAATACTGGAAATGAAAAGTACTATCTGTTTTATCTTTCTTTTAAGAGTATTTTTAGAATTCTCTGACATACACCATTTCTTATATTTTGTATGTTTCTTGATATAAAAAAGTTTATCTCCTTTAAAAGTTAAGTAATATGCAAGATTCTATATAAAATTATTAATAGGAATTTTAGGTATTACAATAAAAATTTTAATCACACTAATATACTTTGAACATAAATATAAATTAATTCATCAAAATCAAGTATGATTCTTATAAATAAAATCCTGAAAATAAATTTTTTGAAGTTGAAAGTGGAAAGTGAAAATCTGGAATAATTTACAAAATTTCCAATTAAAGTTTTAATAATAAATAAAAATGAACAATTACAATAATAATATCTGTGAATATTGTTGTAATCAATAAATATATTAAAATGGTTTTGAAGTTTTTCGATTCTCAAGTGAAAATAGATAAGATTGTTTTTTGGGATTAGGTTGAAAATTAATTTTTTCCTGGTGAAACCAAAGGAGATGAAGCACTACTTAAAGGCTGATGACTATTCTTGAATGTCATTCTAAATTTTTATCTTCTTTAAAATTTTATCGAAGCCGGAGGTAATTTGTTAATAGGACAAGCAGTTAGTTTTAAATTATCTATAGTCTTAGGAGGCAGACTTGATTTGATATTTAATTTAATTGAAGAATTTCTCCTTTCTGATTCGAATAAGCTCGTAATTTTCAGTTTATGTAATCCTTTGAATACAGAATGCCAAATTGCTTATGATGCGTTTATTCTTTTTTATGGATTGATCTCTAACATCTTTTTTAATAAATCAAGGGTATCAGGTGATGCATCAATAATAGCAAAATCTATTTAACCTTGGTAATTGAGAAAAATTCGTTCATCATAGCTTTTTGTTGGAAAGGGTGAAATGCCTCCTGATAACATCGTAAAAAAAATGACACCTAAACTATAGACATCCACTTTATAATCATAACTTTTGTCTTAAAGAATTTCTGGAGCTACATATCCAGGAGTTCCACAACGAGTAAATAAATATTTTACATCTCTTCTAAAAAAGTCGGCAAGACTAAAATCACTAATATAAACATTATTTGGAGCTAAGAGACTTTTTACTAAAATGTTCTCTGGCTTTAAATTTCGATGTAAAACATTTTATTCATGAATATAGCTTAGAGAATCAAGCAACCTAAAAATTATCTTAATCGCTGATTGTTCAGGAATTTAATATTTTTTTATCAGATCACTTAATGTGCCACCTTCAAATGAATCATATACTAATAAAAATCCAAATTCATTTTCAAACACTTCTATTAAATTTACCACTCCATGGTGATTCATCAATCTAAAGATAGAAATCTCTTTTTTTATTGCATCAATATCAGATTGTTTTGTTAATATTTATTTTTCATATACTTTCACAGTATAATTTGCTTATTCAAAGATATTAATTGCATCGTATACCTAATTTTTTTTTAAATTGATACTTTGTAAAATGAACCTCTGTTGAGCAAATTCAATAACTCATACTTAGTGCTAAATTCAATTTGATAACAATATTTTTTTAATGATTCAAACCAATCCAGAATTAAGGGTCCAAATATTAAAAATTGAAAAGTTGCCTTTGTAAAAGAGAGCCCGTGACCTATGTGAATATTTTCTACTATTGAAATAATGCAATCTGTAATATCTAAGACATAAAATCCAGTCTATAATCTTATATCCATCATACTTGATTCTTCTTTTTCTTAAAAATTAAATTTTGCATCTTAGTTATCTCAATCTCTTTGAAAGTTTGTTTCTTTTCAGAATATATATTGAATCGATCGAAATTGATACTTTAAGGTAATTTTGATATACTTTTCAGTTACCAATGGGAGAACTTCTATTTTTTATCAAATTCTGTTGAAGCAAAATCTTTTTAGGGAGATTTCATTTTATAATATATACTAATTTCTAATCATAAACTCTTTTGAGAAGGTATTTAAGGTACTTCAATAGAGAAAGTTTTGGTTTCAATATCTTTGGTAAAGTTATTAATTTAAGAGCTTTTTGGAATTTCTGTCATACTTGACATGGCATGAAGCAATTCATATCTTCTCGTGATTCTTCTAATTAGATTGTTCTCTCTTAGTTCATTAATGGAAAGTCGTTGGGTAGGATTAGGGCATAGCATTCCATTCATTAATTAAAGACAATCATTTGACAAATTGCAAAATTCAAACAAATTAGAAACATAACCAGTTAATAATTGCCGAAACACTACTCCTAGACTATAGATATCTACCTTAAAATTATAATTTTGAGTTGTAATCATTTCAGGAGCATAATAGCCATTGGTTCCACATTTTTAAAATAAATAATTTCCATCCGACCTATAGAAATCCGATAATCCAAAATCTGATATAACAGGATCGCCGTTGTATTTAAGCAAAATATTATTTGGTTTGATGTCTCTATGTAAGATATTTTTGGAATGAATATATTCTAATCCGTTTAAGAGTTTGATTAAAATAAGAATCGCTTATTCTTCTTTGAGTCTACAACCAGCATCAATTTACAAATGATAATCAAGTAATTCTTCAACCAAAAATATACATTATTCACTTTCGAAACATTCAATCATTGAAAGTACATTTGGATGGTTCATTAATCTTAATATCTAAACTTCCTTTATAATTGCTTATCTTGCTTTAGAATCTAAAAGTAATTATTTCTCAAACATTTTTACTGCGTAAAGGTTTTTGTTCTAAACATTCTTTACTTTATAAACCTAGAAGATTTAAACAATAATATTACCTTCCCAAAGCCTCCTCTACCAATTTATTTTATAACTTTATATTAAGTCACAAAATCTTTTTAAATTCCATACAATTTCAAAATTTACAAAATTTTTGATGATAAACCAAAAATTTACAATTATTTAATAGATTGTTTAATAATCACTCCTCTTCCCATGCATACATGAATAGGGAATTCAAGATAAGAATTAGCAATATTTATAGTATTTAATACTTTTGGTTCTTTGCAGTCTTCAAACAACGTTAGGTATGTGTTCTCCAACCTCAAATGACATCTGATGAAATCTTTTGATTTCATTTCGAAAAATACTATTTATTGAATAATCTGTAAACCAGTTTCAATTTAGTAAGTCTATTAGTCAAAAAAGTTTTCCATATGATAATAAAAAAATAAAATTATGATAAAACGTATTTCCTTAAAAGTTAGTTTAACTGTAAATGCCTTTTATATGTCAATACAAATAAATTGAATTTAACAACTACATTAAGATCAATAAGAGAAGAGTTTTATGAAAAAAATAATCAAATTTAATGAATGTGTATAGTATTATATCATCTTAATTTTTGAAAGAATATTTGATTATTAAAGAAAAATAAAAAAAATAAAAATAATAAATAAATTATAAAATATGAACAATCAAAAAAGAATAAAGGTTAGTATTTACAGTTATAATCCAGAGGATTTACTTGGATCAGGGTACAAAAGCCAAGTGTTCAAAGGAAGGAATGATATGAATGGATAGATTGTAGCAATAAAAGTATAGTTATGTATGTAATAAGGTTTGTGATCACTCTAAGATGTAGCATGAAATAGAAAGACAATTATTATAATAGGAAATAACAGCTTTACAAATATTAGATTCAATCAACATTATAAAAATGCATTTTTACTAACATAATAGTAATTGTACATATATCATAACTGAATACTGCAATGAGGGTAATAGTTATTTTAATGATTAAAGGTGATTTAGCAGACATGATAATTAAAAAAGGTTGCATTTCCGAGAATGATGCTGTCATAATCTTTCTTCAGATTTTGACAGGGTTTAAGGAACAAATCACAAAAGGAATCATACATAGAGATCTTAAGCCATCAAATATTTTGATAAATAAAGGAATCTACAAGATAGCTGATTATGGGTTTTCAAAAATGATTTCATCTCAAAAAGAAAAAGTATATTATAATGTAGGCACTACTTTGTATATGTCACCTTAAGCTTTAACTGAGAATAAATATTCAGAGAAAAGTGATGTTTGGAGTTTGGGTGTAATGTTTTATTAAATTTTGAGTGGTAAACTGTATTTGATATTTTTAGGAAAGGTACCTTGGTAGGCTGGTACAGAATAGGAATTTGTAAAAGTAATTACAACTACTCCTATTCAATTCTCTAGGAACATTAAGATTTCAGCAGCTGCAAAAGATCTCATTATTAAATGTTTACAATTAGAAGAGAGTAAGAGGTATAATTGTCAACAATTATTGGAACATGATTTATTTAGATATCATTAAGGAAGACAATCTAAAAAATCTGTTTAATTTTTACTTAATAATTATAATTTGGAAAACAGAGCAAAGACTAGTTATTCTTAATAACGTCAGCATCTTTCGGTCTAGCGACTTTAAAGCAGTAAAAATCTATAGGAGAAAAAATAAGAATTAGTAAATTATGGAGATGCTGTATAGAATATCCTATACTTACTTAAAATGATTTTGAGAATAGCTAAAATTATTGATCATTTTGACTTTTTTATTGAAGGAGGACTTAAAGAGAAACTCTTATATTTTGCTATTAAGCATGCTATTTTCAAATCTAAATAAGTCTTATTTATTTTGAATAAGGATCATTCTACGATAAATTAAACTAAGAAAAATGAATTTATTACTTAAAGCAATAACCTATATGATACATTTAGAGCCTCTTTTAATAAATTAGTAAATATATTCTCTATTTCATTTAGTGGGACGCTATCCATAGAGATGAAGTGTTATTAAACGAAATGCTCAAAGATAAAAAGTTTGCAGCAGCATTTGATTAAAGTGATTTAGAAGTTTAAAGTCATTATATTCTTATGCTTCCATTATTAAGAAATTCAATAGCTTTGTTGTAGAATTAATTGAACTTAAAATTAATTAATATGAGAGAGTAAGATTAATTAAGTGGAGAAGAAGAAGGTGCTATTCTTCTTTTAACCTATCTGGTTGTATACTTAGAATTATGTCTATATGTAGTCTAACATTTTGAAACTTCCATATTCTATTTGAATTAATTTAAGCTCAAATTAGTGGTTGAAGAAAAACCTACAAATCTTACCAAACGATAATTTATGCAGATATGCTAAAAAATTAACTCTTTGTAGCATAATTATGTTCAATGATATAATTTTGTTTTTACTCATATACTATACCTGTCTTATTTTAGAATTTTATTTTATATATTTATATATATATCATATTTCTATATTAAATCATGGAATAAAAGATTGGAATTTGAAGATTAACAGAATTATTTATTTATGTGCTATTTATTATCATATGTACAATTAATAATTTTATGCAATATAACATAAAGGAAATCATTGCTCGATTAAATGAACAAAGAAAGACAGTATAATTTAGACATAGAACTCTTAACACTGAAAATTCTTAACCAACTTAAATTTCTGATGCCAAACGAAGGTTATCGACTCTTGATCCTCCAACGATGAGTATGTAGTTTTTAGAAATTGACGTAATGAAATAAAAAGAAAACAAAGAATATAAAAAAGTTACAAACAAAAGAGTTTAAATATAAAATAAACAACGTCTCATGATGTTATAGAGTAAAAAGAACACTTAACCTCAAAATCATTCATCTTTCCTTCCATTGATAGATTTTTCATAATTAAATAATGATCCTCTACCGATTGTATATCCTAAACATGACAAAATGATTAGGCTAAAGAAGATAACTTCTAGAGTAATGGATTAATTATTCTGAAACATTTTTGTATATTTTTTTTCAAATACTAATACAAAGCTCAAATAGTCATTCTGTTTTAAACTCAATATTCAATTATACAAATTTTTACTTATTAGATTGTAGATCTTTTATATTGTTAAAGGACACACCCCATGTTCAAGATCTATTGAAGATAAAAGAAAGCATCAAAAAAGATTTTTAAGTTCAATTCTTGATTTTTTAAACTTTTAATAATTTTTAAGGTATTAAAATAAGAGTATAACAATAATATAAAATGAATTTATAGAATCAATTTATTCTAATCTTTTGGGATAATTTAATATTGAAAGTTATAAAGAATTTTCATATAAATAAATCTTACTTCTAACGACATAAAAAACTTAATGAAGCTTTTACTCATTCAATCAATTTATAAGGCTTAAAAAAAACTTTTAATAAAAATTATAGTTTTCTTAATATTTTTTGATTATTCTTTTATTAAATAAAACTTTCTTAAACTTGAATAATTTTCGAGTTTAAAGATGTTCATATTGAAATATTTAATGTATGATTTGAATTATTTCATAATAAATCTCAATAATATATTGGAGAAGCTAAAACTGAATTAATTTTGATAAATTTAATAATAAAATACATCACATAAAAATTATATGAATTAAGCTTGTTAATATGTAGAAAGTTCTTAGAGTGATATGTATAATGAATCAGAATTTGATGAGCATTAGAGAGGAATAAACTAAGCTTTTTTCAATTAGAAGTCTTTAGAAGATAAAATTCAATTTTCAAATTTAAACATTAACCAGCCTCTTGATTTGAAAACACCTGCCGAGACAGTAAGAAAAATATAGATATATTATAATAGATATAGGAATATTTATTTACTGATGAAAAATTAGAAGTACAAGGGAAAGGATTAAATAATACTCATCTTTCTTTTGGTAAATTCTTGAACCTTAAACTACTTGATTTAACAAAATGTAAATTATATTAAATCCCAGAAGATATAAAGTACATCATTATAATACAATTAGATTGATGGTGAATCTATAAAAATTATATTTGAGCTCAAATTTATTAACTTTTATTCCAAGTTTTTTAGAATCTTTAAAGTTCTTAGAGATCTTAGATTTATCATTTAATTAATTATAGAGCATTAATTTACATCTTAAGAGTTTAAGATAACTAAATATTTCAAGCAATAATTTTGATCAACCCTATTTATACCCTTTAGAAGTATTGTGTTTATAAATGAATCCAATCTCATATCTTCCAAAAGGTTTTGAAAAAACTATTAAGAATATGAATCAATTAGAATTTGATTGGTTTAAATATTGTAAACCCCCATTACCAATGAAGTTGAATCTTCTTAAGTATTCTTCAATCTAGTAAAAGTTAATGATTGCATTAAAGCAAAATCAATTGAATTTCCTAGATTTTGTTAAATTATTGAGTGTTAATGATTAAAACTTTTCAGGCACTGATTATAAGGAAAGAAATTTATTTTGCTAAGCTGGATTAAATGATGACATAGGAGCTTTATATGGTTTATACTAAATTATTCCTTATGATATTAATAAAACAGATTTTGATAATAACACACCTCTTACAGTTTGTTATTTAGATGGCAAATAAAGGTTTAGCATTCATAATAAAAAAGATCAGTAAGCCTTCTCAAATCATTTGGAGCAACCTTTTCCTTAAATGCCATTCATCAAATAAGTTAAAGAGCTGACATACAAAATTTAAGATACATTCTATCTACTCATCATAATCAAGTTTTTCAATTCATATATTTATTAGGAAGCTGTAATTATGCATAGAAATATTGATGGCAATACTCCATTACATTAAGTAATGATGAATTTCGATAAACATGAAAATAGTTCTGATTTTGCTAAAATACTACTTTATTATGGGTCTGATCCTAATTAAGAAAATTATGATGGTAGTACTCCTTTAGATGCTGCAATAAAGAAATAATAAATTAAAGCAATTAAATTTGGATATGAATACAATTAAACTAAACGACTTAATAATAAAAATGCTTAATTGTTTGAATTTGCACATATTTCCACTAATTCAGGTTAGAGTTTGTGTCACACAGCCATTAGTATTGGAAATTTAGAAATTATTGAATTTTTGCTGACCATTAATTGTGATTTCTTCTCAATTAATAAATTTAACAGATTACCAAGATATTTTGCTACATAAAGTCTTATTTATCTAAAAAACACCAGAAAAATTGAAAATAGATATATATTTTTAAATATTATAAGAGAGAGATCTTTATTAGAATAACAAGAGAAGTATAAATAAAAAATTATTATTATTAGAAATGTCTATCAAATGAAAACCCGTATTGAAAAAAATATGGTTTAAAGACATCATAATATGGTTTAAAAGCATCTTGATTAAGAAGAAATTGAAGATATTGAAGATATTGATGAAATGGAAAGCTATAATGAAATTAGCCTTTAGGTTGGTTCTGAATGTTTAGTTCGTGAAACTGCAGCTGAATCAGCTCCAATATTTTAAAAATCAAATCGTTTTAATGACATTAGCTTAACTATAAAAAAAAATCTATAATCAAATTATGTTCAAGATTGTAAAGATGAGCTACCAGAGATTTTAAAATAGTTAAGAAATGGAAATTTAGTTTTATCTATTTAGCGATTGAAATCTATTCTATAAAATGAAAATTTATCAGTATCTGAAAGAATTAAATATAAAAATCAAATTAACTATTTGAAATTTAAGTTTAAAAAATAAAGGTTTGAATTAAAAGCTTTAATTGCTTAAGATGTTCTACTAGTTTTGAATGAATATTAACTTTGCAATGTTTCAAATGAAATGAAAAGTATCAAATATATTTATTTATTTTAGTTAGGCACTTAAAAGAGCTATAATAATTTATTATTGATCAAAATAAGCATGAGATTAGTTAAGCTCTACAAATTATTTAAAAACGAAAAATAACATGTTCCTCATTTGATTTGAATAGAGATTTAAAAATTAGCAATATTTCCTAAATCAATGATTTAAGATTACGCCTTAGCAGTAATTTAATATACGATATAAACAATTATGCTTCATCTTTGTCTTTATCATAAAATCAACTTTTTAATTGGTTGTATCCATGTAATTCAAAAACTGAAAAGATTTTAGAATAGACCAATATTTTCAGTTTATAAAATTATGAATACTTGCAATAAATGAAATTTAAAAGAAGAAAGATATTTCCAGAAATAAATGAAGATTTAAAAATAGAGAAAGACATGTTTGAACATCATTCTTTACCTTAAAACTAAATAATGAGTAATGCTAATCTATTCTGTAACAGTAAAAGATTGTTGTGATATATATTAAAATACATTTTTTGTTTATGAATTAACCAATAAGTGAAATGTTACAAAAGGAATTGATAGAGTGCAAGAAACTATTTGATGATAAAATAGATATAAAGATTCTTAATAATGATAGTTGGTAAATTAAAATAAAAGGTCCAAAATTTGGTCCATATGAAAATGGCTAATTTTTTTTACATGTTAAATTTCCTAAAGAATTCCCTAAAGTTCCACCAAAACTTCGTATATTGAATAAAATATATCATATGAATATCAATCAATAAGGTTTTATTGCTTTAAATACATTAAAAAAAGAATGGTCAGAAAATATTAGTGTAAAATAAAGTAAATGAGTATTAATACTTTTGAGTGCTAGAAGAAATTTTAAGCCTTTTTTAAAAACCAAATATCTAAAACCCATTAAATCTTAAATTAGCTTAGCAATATTAAGAGAATGCTTAAGAATATTTTGAAATGGCTTAGAAATGGACTTAATAATATGCTACATTTATTGATATTAAAATTGATTGATATATATATAAATAATAAATCGATAGAAAAAAGAATAGTAGAGTTAATGTCCTCGTAAGTATGAAGAGATGTTGTTAAATAAATAAAGAGAGAAAAAAAAAATGTTTTTTTGATGAAAGAAATGACCATTATAAATTGTTAAAAAGTATATATATCCAAAGAAATATCAGACGAATTAAAAGAAGAATGATAAATGAATTATGAATAAGTTAAAATTTTTGTTTGTTGTCTAGTTTGATTATTAAGAGAACTAAGTATAAGAAAGTTATTTTACAATAAAAATATACGAGAAGTAAAAAGAATTTTGATTATTTTTGAGAATTGTATAATAAATTATATGATAAAGAAATTCAAGAAACTATTTCAGAGTAAATCTGAGTTCTAGAACTTTTTGACAAAATCAAGTTTGGTTAAAGATAATTTTGTTTACAAACAGGAGGATATAGAAATACTAATTCCATTTTTAACTGATGAATAAAATATTGCAGATTATTTCAAGATTTATTAGGAGGAGAATTAGTAGAAATATACAGTGAAGATGAAAATGTTAATAACAATTCATTAAGTATTAAATATAAGTGAAGAATATGCATAACAATTTTCAAAGATAAATTTTACATATATGAATAGGTAATGTAAATATTAAAAGTAGATCATAATCAAAAGCATCAACATTAGTATAAAAATAAATAACAAATGAAGTTTGGTTATTAGATAATATATAGATTCCGTTTCTTTAATATTTATAGAAGTTAGCATTAAATGTATAGGAAATAAAAGGATTTAGAAAGTGTAATTCTCAATAATAAATAGTGCAATAAAAGTAAGAGTATTTAATTAATAAAAGTTTGGTTGTAGAGTGTTTTAAATTAGAAAACTTAGTAAATCATGGTTTATCACTTGTTCCTTAACTCAAAACAGCTTTATCTAATTTTCCTCATGATTTTCTTCTCAAGAAATTAGCATGTAATCTTTACAGTGAACTAAGATAATTTCAAAGATAATTAATAAACTCTCTTTCTGCACTTTTAGATTCAAACTCTAGAGCTTCTAATATAGAGATTTTTGAATTTTTTAGAGAAGTAGAGTTCAATATAAATTTAGGTATAAATGATAGAAAAGAAAACTATGTAATATTATATGTTACATAAATTGTTTGATCCAGCCAGAAAATTAATGCCTCCTTTATAATTAAAAATAGATATAAAAAGTGCAAAACATCTCGAATAATAAGCTTTAAATGAATAATAAAGGATTAATCATTAACGATAATTGAGAAGCCAAAGAAATTCTCGTTCAAATAGTATAGATTAACAATCTCAATGTTCTCAAGGATTTATTAGTTAGAGAGAAAGACGATTTATGATACATAGTAGAGCAAAGAAATAAGATACGATAGAGGAAGATATAGAAATACCAACAGAAGAATAATAACCATATTTAGTTTAGAAGAAAAGAATATAAAGTAATTAGATTATGGAAGGGTAATACAATAATTAAGAAGAACAAAAACATGAAAAGAAATAATCAAATGAAGATCCAAAATAATATATTGGTTCTGAACATAATTATTAAATGGAATAACATGAAAATAGTAAAGACACTTAAATAAATGAAAGATCTAGTTAAAAAGAAACTAATGATATAGCTAAAAATCAAGAAAGTACTGGTTAAGCAGATCAAGATGAAAATTAAGATATTTGATATCTAATCTTATTACTAAAATTAAAAACTTAATTTTAATTTCAATTTCAATATAGTATTCTGATACTTTACAATATTAATTGTAACACATTATTTAAAGCAAATGGTTTAATTAATTATTCCTTTTCATTCCAAATTATTCTAACCTATTCTTAAATAAGCTGAACACTTATTGATTCTTAATTTCATTACATGAAAATTAAAAACTTATAAGAATTCCCATTATGATTGCCATCTGCTAAAATTTAAAATACATTTTTGTCTGATTTCAATACATAAATATTATTATTCTATATTTTTTATATTATTCTTTATTATTTAATCTATTATATACTTTTTCTAATGTTTATGTTCCATAATAAGTACTTTCTGATTAATATACTAAAATTAGTCATCATAAATTATTGTTTCTTATTCATTTATTTAGATTACTTAACCTTCAACAAAATATGAATTGATCTGTAAACTATCTTATTAACTTTAAATTAATAAATCTCCATTTTAACATAAGATTCTTTATTAGAAGATATTTCAAAATGTAGTATAAAAATGAAATTAATCAATATATTTAGCAAAAGTCTTTGATTTGTAAAATGGTATTTCATGAAATAGTTTATTAAATTAGAAATAGCTACACATAAATTCAATCTAATAATTGTTAAGTCTTTATATATTTATTCACCCATTAATTATACTAAAAATGTAGAGATTCTTAAATTCATATATCTAAAATATTTATAATGAAATAATTATCGCGTTCACAACAGCACAAACCAAAATAGAAAAGTGAGCCTTCTCTTTTACCAAATATTGATATACTTAAAGAAAATGTAAAGTCAAGTTTTGCTTTGGGACATTTGAGAGGACTATTGACATATAAATAAATGCGTGAAATGCCAAAAACAGAAATTTAAGTAAAACGTGATTAAACATTTGGAGTGGCAAATAAATAATCTAAGAATAAAAGATTGACATTTCTTAAATTTGGTTTTAGAACTCATGAAAAAAAGAATAATTATTATTTATAACCTTTAATAAAAAAAGTTAGAGATGTTTTTGGAGATGCTGCAAATGATGGTTCTATGGGTGTTGTAGATTTATGGAGTGATAGAAATGTCAATCGTTTAATGGATGCAATTTAAATGACAAGAGATAATTTAATTGTTCGTAAATTAGGAAAGGAATTAAATGAAGCTGATCGTAAAATACTTAATCGTATAGAAGAAAAAAAAATGAGAGATAGAGTATTTATGGAATCGCTTAAATTGTAATTCTAAGAAACTGACACGTTCTCGTTAAAATTTCAACTATCAGAAAAAGACAAGAAAATTGTACAAAGAGTTGCATAACCTACAATCTCAAGTAATCTGAGACATACTAATCCGAATGAAAATATCTAGAACATTGTAGAGAATATAGATTAACTTCATTAAGAGAATTTAGAGATTTATACAAATCTATATAAATCAATAAAACAGATTCAAAAAAATATTAAGTGATTTAATTTAATCTTTTATTTACTTTCTTAAGCTATTCTCTCAAAAAAATTATTGACTAATAAATTATCCCTCTATTTTTTTTTATATTTTATCTAATTAGTAATTCTTAACTTAACTTATTTCTTGAGTCAGAAGACTTCACATATACACAGCTATACCATTTATTACAGTATTTAATAAGTTATTTAATTTTAAAATATTTTGATATTAAGCAATTTAAGAAATGCTAATTTTTTTGTATCACTTAACATTTTTTTTTTAAAAGATTTCATTTCCTTATTTTTGATTTAATTATTTATATACCAGCTTTAAAACTAATATATCAAAAAAAAAATTGATAGAATAAATACTATTTTTTAATTCATCTATCTATATAGAAGTTATAAAACAGAACTCCTTTTTCAGAAATGGATCCTCAAAATTATTGTTCTTTAGCTATACCTATCTGATTTTACATAATCTTTATTTGGGCAATTTATTAATACTATAAATGTTGAATATACAAAGTTACTTTAAGGAGTATAGTAATCTAATGCTCAATTCATTTGAGATCACCAAAAAGGTTGAATCTCTCTCAATCTTATTAAATAAATATCATTAGAAAAAAATAATATAATGGGGTTCAAATCCAATATACATTCATTTAAAAGCGAGATAAATATATAATTTCTCTCAAAACATTCAAAATTTTAGATGATTATGAAATCGTATCATAAATATTAATACACAGTCCTTTTTATTTAGATATTTGAATTAATTCTCATTCTAAATAAAACATGAAGTATCCCTTAGTGATAATTTATTGTAAAATTATAAGAATGATCTAGAAGATACATTTTTGTATACTATTTAGTTTTTTCTTAGCCACAAAATTTCCTTGAATACATCAAAATGGCTTAATTCAAAAACTTATTTGTCATAATTGAATTTAAACATCTCTTTATTTAAAAAAAAATGAAAGATATTATTGCAAACAATCAAGATTTGGTAGAAAAAAGTTTTGTGACTTTATAAACTTTGAGAATGATTTGGACTATTAAATTTAAGAAATTCAAAAATTAAATGTTGAATGGTAATGAAAACTTTCGATTTAATAGAAAAAATATAAAAAGGGAGAAAATCCAAATGCTAAACTAAGTTTAAATTGATATTTAGATGATGATTAAATAAAATAAATGAAAGTAAAATGTTTTTTTTGTTATTTCTTAAGATTAAATAAGCATTTAATTTTGAAGTAATTGTTAAAAAAAGTGTTAAGAATTAATTAAATAATTATTATTGTTTTATTTATGGAGGAATATGTACAAGGGTTTGTGAGCACATCAATAGTAAAAACAGTTTTAGCTCCATTAGAAAGGTATAAACTAATCAGACAGACCTAAGATATTCTTACATTGAGTTCTAAAGAGAAGATGACTAATTTTTATTAATTTGTTAAGAAAACAATTTCAAATGAAGGAGTGAAAGGATTATTTAGATCAAATTTAACAGCAATTTACATGTGGATACCATAAGTATATGCATAACATGTTTTTTATCAAAATATCAAATAAGCCACTTATGACAAAGATGTATATAAATAAATTGAATTTAAAGATATTGTCAATGGGACTATGTGCAACACTTTGTGGGATTACCACATCTATATTTTCTTATCCATTAGATACAATAAGAGTTAGATAAGCAACTGAGATATAAATTCCTGGATAAAAGAGAATGTATATAGGTTTTGAAGAGACTCGATTTAATATAAAATTAGAGAATGGTTTTTTTAAGGGTTTGTATTCAGGATTTACAGTTGGATGTATATAAACATTGTTGTTTGCTTATGGGATAGTAGGTTTGAATTAACTTTTGGAAGGAATGACACCATATAATTAATAATTAGCTTATTTAGGATCATATGCATTAATATATCCAATTGATAGTGTGAGACGTCGTTTATAAGTTAAATCTATATTGTTTTAACAGGAAGCATCAAAAAAATAAAACTTATGGGAGAAATTGAAATTTAATATGAAAGAATGGAATTTTAGTTGGGGTTATGGAGGATTCTTAGCTCATAATATTAGAGGAATAGCTATGCTTATAATTTTGGAATAAGTAAACTTCGAATCACTTTACAAGTAAACATAGAATCAATTGAATCAAGTTCTCAAATATTGAGTATTATAATTTAATCTAACATACAATTATATTTTTATAATCAACCATAATGGTTAATAATCTATTTCATTAGCATATAAAATTTATATCACATGTAAAGTATAATCAAAGTCTAAACATAAATGTTTATTAGATTTTATAAGATAGGTCCTAAAAGATATTAAGATATACATTTTATAAATTAAATATATATTCAAATAGAATTAGGTATTTATATAGAAACATATGATATAGATTAAGACAGGTAATTTTACATAATGATTATATTTTTATGATATTAGCATCTTTTCAAACTCCTTTAAATAATCTTATTCCATCTCTACCTCCCCAAAGTCCTCTAACCATTAATTGCCAGTATGCAAATGGGAAGAAATGCTTCTTCATCAAATACATGACTTTGCTGTCAGAAGATTGAAATACAGGAAAAGTTTCGTCTAGTTCTTTGTTGTACTTGAATTCTGCTAATAAAACTTTTTTATTTGAAGTGTAAACAGGGCATGATGTATAACCTAGAAAATAGTTTAATAGGATACCTTAATATTCTGATAGAGGTGGTTATTTTAATTTCCAAGTTCTAATTAGATTTTTTATTAGAATAGGAGTTTAAGCCATAACAGCTGCAGCAGTTTTAGATGTAGGAAGAGAAGAACAATCTCCTAAAGCCCAGACATTAGCATATCTTACATGTTATAGAGTATTTGGATGTACATTTACATAACCATCTGAATCACCTAATCCACTATCAGCAATAAATGAAGCAGGTTTCTTAATGAAATATTGTATGAATATATATACTTAAGGTGGAACTATATGTAAGAAATCATAATCAGATGTATATAGCTATTTAGTTTCAACATCTTCAAAGATTACTTTATGATCTTAAACTTCAATTAATCTTTTTTTAAGGTGCCAATGTATTCCTTTTTCACTTGCCAATTCTCCAAGTATTTCTGCATATTTAGGTATACCAAAAACACAATCATTAGCTTTGTATACATGATAATCACATTTAACTCCTCTGTTTGATAATCTTTCATGTGTTAAGAATACAATATTAGAAGGGATTCCCTCACATTTTGTTGGTGGTTCTGAAAATATTAATTTACCCCCTTCAAACTCTTTTATCATTTTATTAATCTTCTAAGCATATCTATAATAGTAGATACTTCCTACCGGAGCTTCAGGGTTTTCAAGTTATTACAAGGCTCCTTAAAATATATATATATAATTTTATACCTTTTATAGAAGCATAATCACGTTGTACTCCACTTGCTACAATTAATTAATCATATGTATATTTTTATCCGTCCATAGTTCTTATTGTATTCTATTCTGGATCAATTCTCACAACTGGGCAATCACTCAAACATACATTTTTTGGTAGAACTTTTTCCATTGGTTTCATTGTTGATTCTACTTTACACATCCCACCACCTTTATTTAATAATAATTAATCTACCTACCATAGTCCATCCTGTTTGATACGCATGCATCTTATATGGTTCAAATATACGAATCTGTTATGGGATAAAATGGCCATCTCGAACCAATTATGCAGAAACATTTAAACCTGCAGTACCACCACCTATGATTGCTACTTAACTATGAATTGCTCGCACTGTGAAACCATACAATGATACATAATTCAATTTTCTCATTAATTTATGATAAATATAAATAATAACATTTAAGATATTTCTAATTTCTAATTTATATACTAATTTACTATCTCAATCTTTCCTTCCTTCAATTATTTCAATATTTCATTTTTACATATTCTCTATATTATAACATCATTAATCTCCTTCTTACTTTATCATTCATATTCTTTCATAAGAATTATAATAATTAATCTAAGTATTTAAAATAATATTTATCACCCTTCTATATTATTATCTTTCAAATCATATTCTACTTTTCTAATTTTCAATCATTTTTAGTTATTCTATCATTTATTAAACATCTTCCATGATGATCATGTTTTTCAATCATTATTGCATTCTAAAATTATATATTTAAATATTATCAATTATTTTATATAACAAATAATTATTATAAATTAAATTCCAGGTTTTAAATTGTTCTAGTTAGTTGGATTAAAAATAACTAATTTACCAAATATTATTGAGCTTTTTAACATATCTATGTCTCAAGATTTTATTTTTATTATTCAATAGAATATTTTTTTATATGAAAGTTAAAACCACATATAATATAACAATATTATTTATAAACACTCTTGATATCATTATAAATTATTTATATCTATTAAATTCTTAATTAAAAATAAATAAAGTAATAAAATAATAAAGTTATTTATAAAAATTTTATTTAAAAGAGAAAACAAATTTTTATGATTAGGATGTGGATTTAAACCCAAAAATACTCAAAGATAATGAATTTGATTAATGTTATAATTTATTCGAACCTCCTTTCATTCAATTTCAAAATAAATTCATTTCAACATATTACCACTTTCTATAGTTTTACTCTATATTATAAGAATTTAAATCAACCTAATTTATTAATAGTATTCTTAAATTTAACATTAAAAATATCTGATTTCAATAAAAATTGAATTGAGAGATCTTTATCATTTTAAATATATTTAAAAGACTTAAATTCTTAGTGCTCTTTGAAAATTAAGAAACCAATGAACTTATATTTTAATAATGGAAATTTAAGAGAGAAATATTTTAGGAATTAAATTTAAATATCATGGTTAAAATAATTTTGATTATTGTTATTGATTATGAAAGATGTTTAAACTCCAAAAATAGAACAGCTAGCTTACAAAAATTATGTTCTAGTTAATATGAAACCAAAGAAAAAAAGACATTAGACTTTTAAAATATAAATGTTTATTTGTAATTTATTTATAGAATAAAACACTACATATTAAACAGCTAGATTCAATCAAAAGAGATAAGTTTAAACTAATTCCAATCTACTTCCATATAGTCAAGTTCCTAATTATAGAATTATAATAGTTACTTCATTAAATACTGCTGATCTAACTGTATAATTATTGATAATTTAACTATCCTCAAGTTAATTATTTTGAAAGTATTATGACTAACTTTCTACTTAAGGTTTTAGGTCATTTTAAGGTATTTTAGGCACCATTGTCCCCCATTTCCAAACACTATCATCTAAAGGATGTGGTTTCGATGGTTTGTTAGTAAAAACAATGGGAGACTAACTCATTAATTAATTTTAATAATTATTGTGGATAATTATATTTTGAGTTAATTAATGTTCTCATTCTTTAGTTGTTCTAAAGATAAATATAATGAAACAAGGAATAGAATACTAATTCTATTATCATCACTAAAAATATATATATTCATAATAATAATCATTAAACAAACTTACAAACCTTCAATTGTATTTAAATTATTTGTGAATTGCTTAACCAGTCATCTTATTGAGATTGATTTTCCTATTAAGAAACAAAAATTAAGTTTTAATTAATGTTATGGTAGTTACTGAAACAATTAATCAATTTTATCTAAATTATTGCATATATAGATAATTATAAAATAGACAATAAGCCCATACCCTTATTCTTTAATACATAGTTAAGTTTGCTGATGAAAATTTCCTATTAAATTGATATCAATAATTCAATATCATTTTAAATTCTTATTAGGTATAAATAATTGATATTAAATATTATATATGCACTATCTTATTAGATCTCTAATTGATTATGCATTCAAATATTCTAATCCTTCCAATTTTTATTATTTTCACGATCCATCGAACTATATACCAAAATTCATCTTTATTTTTTCATTTTTATTTGGATAAACCTCATAAAATATTCTAAATAAACAAATATTATTTATTCTATATATTATTATATTAAAAATAATGTATTTAAAAAATCTTTGGGTAGAATAATTAGTCTTAAATAGAATGTTCATATCTTTTTATGTAATTCTTATTGAATTATCCCTTTTAATAAATCAATAAATTAAAATATTTTATGAAAATTAAAAACTTCCTAAAATTTGGTAATATAATTTGATATTAGATTATATAATAGTTAATTTATTAAAAAACCTTAAAATAGTTTTCCTTGAAGATGTAGAAAAGTCATGAATTAATTTTTTGAATTAATATTAACATGAACTTTGAAAGATAACTTTATGAAACTTATTAAATTGACCCAGATCAATTACATAAAAATATGAACCAAGAAAATCTGATTATTTTATGTTAATTGGCAGATTAAAGTGATAATGAGATAACATTACAAATTGTTGGAAGTTTAGTGTCTACATATATTGATTAGAATCATCAAAATACACCAGAATTTGGTAAGATATTTGAATTTGCATGGAATAGAATCAAAAGATTTACAACTCATTCTAGACCAGTCTATCATTTTTTTGCATCCATTATAGCTAATATAATTCTTCACTTTTATGATTAAATACCTGTTTAATATTTTAAAGAATAATCCTAAATAATGAATAAATAAGTTTATCTCATTATAATTGATACAGTATTAAGAAGATTGTAACCATAAGATCGAGTTGGAGAATTCAAAATTCTAGATTCAAAACAAAAAGTTGTCAGATAACAATTTTTTAAACATAATCTTGATTCCCTTCTAGAAATCATTACTACAAGTTTAATTGGAAATAATAATAATAATTCTGATTTACAATTATTGGATACTGCAATTGATCTATTAAATTTATTATTATCTTCAGAAATCAGAGAAGATTTTACAGAAAAAGATTGGCATAAAATTAAAAGAGCTGAAGTTAAAAATAAAAGAAATCTATAAACTATTATGAAAGAAATTAAATTTTAAATTTTAGATTAAAATGAAATTGAAAAAATGATACAAAATTAACATTTAGATCATATGGATCCTATCACTAATCATATAAAAATGGTTTGGTCTATAGTCAAATATCAATAATTCATTGCTAAATTAACTGAATTATTACCATTAAACATTAAAATATGGGAATCTCTTGGTAAAATTTGTAAAATTTATTAAAAATACTATTCAAATGATAAATAAAGTATAGATATTATATATTCAATCACTTCAAATATTATGGTATCAGATATATCAAAAATTAATTCAATTAATTTACTTAATTTTGCAAGTAAGACTATCTTTGCTAATCATACTCCTTAATGGATTGAATACAATTTAAATTTAATTAAAACTTTAACTACTATAGATGCTGTTTAAGTAGGACTTAAATTTTTAAGAAATCTTGTAAGATTTTAAAGATAATTTGATTATACTCAATTACATTCATTTGTTATGCCTATTATTGCAAGCTTTTTTAATTCTTGGATTATTCAAAATAATTAATGGTTTAATGATAAATTTTTAAGAAACAATATCAAACATATCTTAAAAGAAATTAGTTGTTTTATGATAGAATAATATTTAGAATTCTTTGCTTAAATTATTTAATTAAATACTGACTAAAATATTTAAGAATTAGCCTTTAAACATTATGCTATGGGATTGTTTGCATCTATTAAAAGTACAACATATTAACTCGATGTTATAAATAAATTATAATTTTACAAGATGGATTAATTTTTATATCCAATAAACTTAGATTTATTTAAATCATTTCATTATTAAGAACTTTATAGTAAAGCATTTGATTTTGCATTCTTATATTTGAAAAATTAACCTCTTTTCACAGACAGATTTTTGTATAAAATATGGAAGGTACTTTTTGATTAATAAGCACTTATCAAATTCGAAGAGATTATATAGAAAATGTAAATTGATAGAAAAAATATATTTAATTTCAATAGAATATTCTTATTTAATGATCAAGAATTAATTTTGAAATCTTTAAAGATTTTCATTAATGCAAAAATAAGAATGGAAGATTAATTTTATTAAATAAATCAAATAAATATTCCAAAAGAATGTTTTTCAGAATTTCATGAATTTAGAATCATACCAAATTAAAAAATTATAACATTCTATCATAAAGTAAAGATGTATTTGTTGAATGTTGAAAACGAATCCATAAAAGATTAATTAGCATCTGATCAATTAATATAGAAGTTTAAGAATGATTTACTTTAATTTTTAGATCAAATTTAAAATACAGGAGATATAGTATTTATACTTTAAAGCATGTTGAATGAAAATGTTAGAAGTCTCTATGGAGTTATTATGTAAATAATTGATGATAAGGCATATTTAATTTTATTTGCTTAGACAATTAATTTTGATATGTTAAAATTAACAAGAATGATGATAAACACTACTGGATAAATTGGTTAATTAAAACAAGTTATGATTGATTAACTTTATGAATGGATTTTATAGGTAGTTAAGAAAGTTCAATTTCATTTAGATTCTATAAATAAAGAATTTAATTAAGAAAGGTAATTAGGATAAAAAAGTATATAAAATATTTATAAGCTTTATTATAAGCCTCTGCTATAATTATTGAAGATATTCTAAAATTTAAAATACTTAAATAGATTAACAACAAGTAAGAAACAAATAAGAATTTAGATTTATTAATCAATTCTATTAATTTTCAAATATATCAATCTAAATGATTTAAGTAACTACATTCACAAAATGTCTTAATTATTTTATGTGATATAATGGGTATTGGAATTTGAAATTACTAGACAAATGATAACTGATGAAATATTTGGAATTATTTTAGATGTAATTCTATAATCTATTTATTTAGTTTATAAACTGTGCATTATTAATACAAGAAAAACGATCCTTAATGACTTGCTTAAAGATTATATCAGATATCTAAACATATGATTAGTTTAGCCATTCTTAATATGTATATCTTATTTTTATTTTTTAGATATAATAGAGATTAATAGCAGAAAACTGTCTATTTGGAGCCTTTTTGTATAATCTTAGAATTTCAGATATTTCAGTCTTGATTTTAAGATACTTTTAAAGAATGCCTAATGATTTTAATTTGTTATTCTCTAAACTTAAATAAAGAATTTTACCTTACAAAAGCTAAGAATGGGATTAAATTATCAATGTCAAGTTAGATAAACTTTATTCCATCATTCCAAAATAATAATAGTTGGTTAAGATGGCAACTTAAAACAAATAAATAGAAAAAACCTTTACAGATTATTTTTATTAAGTTTAATTATTTTATAATTATTATCCATGATAAATATTTAATAAATATTCTGATTATTTTATTCAAATATCTTAGAAATAAAATTTAGAATCAACTTTCTATATATTTATTATTTATTTTAAAACTATCATTAGCTAAATAGACATGAATCAATATTAAAACTATTAACAACATAAATCAATAAATATAAATTAGAGAAGACTTAAATACTTGTTGATAATAATATTAATAAGAAATTAAAATAGAAATAATTTTTTGATAAATTATGATCTACAATTTATTATATATATCATAATGTTAAAAAGAAAGGGGCTCCTTTTGCAAACCTTTCTTAAATAAGTTAATCATAATTCTCAACTTTACTTTATTAAACTCCTGGTAATGATAAAATATTTTCATTATATTCTTGTAATCTTGGAAATCCTTCAAATAAATTAAATTTTAATTATGGTTTAAGTGCACTTAGTAATGTGAATATTGGAGCATAAGCAAAATCAGCTAAAGTTAATTCATTACTGAAAATGAATTTTGATTATTATAACCAACCTTCTAATTTCTCAAAATACCATTTCAAATCAGCTAAGTTGTTTTTAAATGACTATTTATTAAATAAATTAATACATCTTCAGTTTTAGCTGAAAAAACATTCCAAAAAGTACCAATAATTTCTCCAGAAAATTCAGCTCTAGCTCTATTCAATGCTCTTTGTAAATTATCATTTGGAAGTAATGATTAAACCGAAAGGGTATTAATATAATCTAAAATAACCAAAGATTTAAAAAGGACAGTCTCATCTACAAAAAGAATCGGCACTTTTTCTAATGGACTAGCCTTCACAAACCAATCAGGTTTATTTTGTAAATCGATATATTTTATCTCATATGGTATCTTCAAATGGTTTAAAGCAGCAATCACTCTTAGAACATATGGGCAAATATTGAAGGATACTAAAGTTAAACTCATTATTAATTATATATGTAAACATTTCAATCATTTATGAACCAAAACTTTAGAATTTCTTAATTCTAAAATTTAAGTAGTTGATTAAACAATTGTTAAAAATGCTCTAAGAATTTTAATATAAAATTTTTAACACATCTTTTTTATTTATGAAAAGTTAATATTAATAATTTATTACATAATCTTTATCATTTGTCATCCTACAAAAACCTTTTATTTTGAACTTTAGAATATTTTCAATAGACAACTAAGAATGTTCATCTATAAACCATAGAGATTTCAAATAAAATACTATTAATAATTATTTACATATCTTTATTTTCCATTCTTGAAAATGAATAGTTCCAGAAAATTGATTTTCTTATTTATTGAAGATTAAGAAAAATCTGCTAGATTTAAGCTTTGCTCGATATATTTTTTTTATAGACAACTTTCTAATAAAAAAAATAAAAACAATAGCTATTAATTTATATATTACATTCTAATATTTATGTTGAAACTAAGTTCTAAAGAATTTTAATAATCTTCTTAGCAAATTCTAATCTTGGTGCTCTTAATAGTTTTTCATTTGAAAGAATTTTTGTACAGAAAATAAATATTGATATAATCTAAAATTATTATTTAAAGATCGATTCTTCTGAATTTAAAATAATGAGATTTTTTATTTAAGTTTAAAAAAAAGAATTTTAAATAAATTGAATATTTAATGATTAAAATTTAAATTTTATATATTCACTATTTTAATTCAATGTATTCTGATCCTTACAGTTTTCCTTTTTGAATTAATATTTTAATGGCTTCTTTAATATTGTTTTCTGTAACAGGAGTCGAAAATTCACTTTTGAATGTGGTTTTAAACAATTAAACAATTTTTTCAATTTTGAGAGTACCAGTTTATTTTAATAATTCAATTAAATTATGAGAAATTTATTGAATGAGTTAATTAGACTATAAAAAGTTAGTTGAAGAGACAAATAAATCTTCAGGTATTTCTTCAATTAATAAATCATCACAAGCTTGAATAAATAAATAATAATACATTAAGGAATATATATTTTTACAGCTTTATATGATATGACATCGTTATCACCTTTTTATTCTCTAATAACTCCTTTTTAAATCCAGAATTGCATTCTTCTTTTCAAATCTTCATGGTTCATTTATAATTATTATGCTAAGACATCACTGTTCAATCCTTTAGAATCATCGTCATTAAAATACCCAATTATACAAGCATGTATAGGTAAACATTTAAATTAAAAATCACCATTTTCAAAAGTTAAATCTAAAGTAACACTACCTAAATCATGATGCCATAATAAAGAACGCATAGTTTTTATTTTTTCAAATCTTTTTTAATAATCATTAAATAATTATTCAATAGATGGTGGTAATTTAAAAGTAGGTTTAAATTCATAACTTATAGGCCAAAATGTTTTACTTAAAAAAAGTGGTTTTAACATAGAGAATTAAGATGATAATGATTAAATATTAGTATCAATACGTTTACTTTCATAAATATCTTTCATCATAATACTACATGTATTCATAGATTGTTCACCAAATCGAATTTTCATTAATTCAATATTAGCAATTTCTTATTCTAATGAGAATTCTTTTGGTGTCAATATTTTTTCAGCAACCATATTCTAATATTCACTTATAAAGGCTTCTTATGATCCATATAAACTAACTAAAACACTTGTTAAATCTTTTTCTTAAGATGTTTCTTCATCAGAAGATTCTTATTATTCAAATATCATAACTTTATCAGTTGAATAATTTTATTAAGTTAAGATTCCTATTATACATCTTAAAAAATCAGATCTTTATAATAAATATTCTTTAATTGGTTTAGTAACTTTATCAAATACCATATAATCTGAATCTACAAACTATAAAACTTTTAGTAAATTCACATAAAATTTAAGAATCGTATCAGTATTCACTCCTGAGATTAATAATCTTTTTTTCATTTATTATTATAAACATTAATCCATATTAGCATACATTTTAGTAACTTCCATACTCTATTTAAATTCATGGAGATGATCACTAGTATCAGGATAATATAGAACAGCTTCGAACATATTTTTAATAGTTCTATCTGAATGAACCTATTGAATAATATTTTTAGCTAATGATTCTATTGATTCCAGAGCTGCTCCAAATTCTAATAAACCATTTAAAAACCCTTCTTCTGAATATATTTTTTCTGCATATAATTTTAATAACTCTATAGTAATAGTTTAATATTGCTCTTTGAAATTCAAATTATTTAATTATTTAAGCCTTTCCTATATATCGTATTCAAGTTCATATTTCTCAACAACCATATTAACTTAATCAAATAATCTATTATCTTATTTGATTTCCATAAATTTAATGAAATCTGACATATAATCAATTTTTCCTTCTTCTTCAAATGCACTATTAATCAATTTCTATATTGGCTCTAATGAAAAAAGTTTGTTTTCTTTCGCAAAATCTATTCATTATATAATGAAAATATACATTTATAATTCTCATAACAGATGTCTAATATTCCTGCTTATTTTACAATTGGCCATATATCAGCAATTTTGTTTGGATCACTTTATAACTAAGAATAATATTGTTAGTAAGCCTTTTACTAGAAAATAATCGTATCATATTAAGCTTAACTAACATATTAAGAGTTTAGAATATCAAAAATGTTCATTCAAATTTCAATTTTTATTTAATATATTATTAGATTTACTAACATGAGTTTTTTACAGTTAACTTAATTTGCTCAAAGAGACCCTATCTTCACATATAAACTAAATTAATTTCAATTTAGTTTCTTTAGTTTCTCTTATATCAATACTCCAATTTGTATCATCTTCTTCAAAATTATCTAATTCTTCTTCAATTATTGATTTTCTAATATTGTCAATTTATTCTCTAGAATTTAATTCTTCAAAAGTGAAGGTTAGTCCATTAGACAATGGATTTTTTTCTATAAATTAAATTAATTCTAGTTCTTTTTAAGCAGTTTCTACAAAATCTAACTTGAATTAAAGATAAAGATATTGTAAAATCTCATATAGTTCATATCTGTAACAAAATAATTTGAAATCAGGTTAATCAATAAAATCATTAGATTTAATAGTAATCTTAAATCATTTATTATTTATTACATTAAATTTTTAAGAATTAATTTATTTTTTGAAATCGAAGAATTTTTACTTTATAACTTCATTCTTACAGTCCTTTATGAATTAATCAAGAATGGTACAAAATTTTCCTTTCAGTTTTCTTTATTATATAACAATATTTCCTATTCTTTAACCTTGTGATATTGTATTTAATTTTTTTTAAATAAAGCATTGTGATTCTAATAAATTTTATTTTTAATCTAGTTTTCCTTCTAACCATGGATGAGTAAATAATTCTTCATAATTAATTCTTTTCTCTTTATCACTAGTCAGCATTCTACTTATAATGTCTTCTCCATCTTTTGATAATTAAATTGAACTATCAAATCTAACTGTAAAATTTAAGTATTATCTCTATAAATCAATTAAACTCCTAACATTTCCTCTCCAATGATACTTCTTAAAAATCATATAATATAAAATCACTCCTAAAGACCAAATATCACATTTAAAATCATACTATTACTAACTATTAAATTTAAAAATTAAAATACTTTAATATTTCTGGAGCCATTGTTGCTGGAGTTCCACAATAAGAACTAAATATATCATTTTATTGATAAAATTTAGCAAATCCAAAGTCAGCTATTTTTATAATATTTTCTTCATCTATTAATATGTTATCTAATTTCAAATCTCTATGTACAATCCCTTTTTCAAATAGATATTTCATTCCTGCTAAAATTTGAGTAAATATTATCTTTGCTTCCTCTTCATTAAGGATATTTCGCTTAGTAAAATTATTTAAATCTCCTTTACTACAATATTCAAATATGCAATAACGGGAATCTCCTTCAGTGAATTCCTCTATCATACAAACTAAATTATTATGTTTCGTTTTCTAATATATCTCTATTTCTTAATCAAAATATTTCATTAATTTTTAAGATTCTTCTGATTCATCCATAAAATCAAGTTTTATTTCTTTTACAGCGCATTACTAATTTTCTTCATTAACTCCTAAATATACTGTTGCGAAAGATCCTTAACCTATAATTTATTTTAATTGATATTATCTCACTTGCTTCAAAAATTTATTGAACATATTTTAAAATAAAATAAATTCTCTAAAAAATTATTTCAAACCAATTTTAATCCTCAAAGAAAATTAACAAAACTACACACAAAGATTTCTAGAATCTTGTATCTTTTTATCAATTCTATTGAATTATTCTATTTTATAAAATAAATCATAAGAAATTATATCGATATCATTCTAAAAATTATTTCATATCATTTTATTAACAAATAATTAATCATAGAATAAATCTATTTTATTGATGATTTGGTTTTGAATCTAAAATAAACCTATTACAAATGCAATTTGAATCATTATTGATGATAACATTTGTTAGGAACAAGTTAAGTTGTATAAAAAGTTGAATATTTATTTTTTTAAGCTTTTTCATTAAACAATTTTAAATACGCCCATCATTACAAAGAGAAAAAATACTAGAATATATTTTTTTCTTAACTTCTTTATGAATATATTTGTTATAAAAGTGAATGATTCTATGAAGAATATTTTTAAAAAGTTAAATGCAAACCTATATAAATTTCATTTTATATATTTTAATGAAAGGTTAAAAATTATGGAAAAAATTGAAATGTTATCTTCTTGAAAATTAACAATATTAACCAGACATAGGTGAAGTGTAAATATTCAAAAAAGAAATCAAAGATGACATTTTAATATATCATGTAGAAGATGTAATTATTAAATAATCAAACAAATAATTGTAACCTGATAAGAGTTAATTGAATTAAGCTAATGATAATGATATCGATAATACAGGAGCCTTTTATTGGCCTTCAGAAATAATTTTAACTAAATACTTATTAAGTGATCTTGATAGGATAAAAAATTATAATATTATTGAACTGGGCGCAGGAAGATCTGGTTTTTGTGGGCTTGCACTAGCAAAAAAAGGTTTTAATGTTACTCTTACAGATGGAAATTAATCTATTATCAAGGAGTTATAAGAAAATGTGAATCTAAATGAAATTAATATTAAAGTAGATGTATTAAAGTGGAAATCAGGAGATCCTTATGAAAATACATGCGCAATAATCTCTGATTGTTTTTTTTTTGAAAATTATCATGATGATTTATTAGAAATGATAAAAAGATTTTGTTTAGTCATAGGTGCAGCACCATCTCGTGGAGGATCTCTAGAGAGGTTCATAAATAAATGTTAAAGCTAAAATATTGAGTGTAAATAACTTAATATCTTTTATGATACTAAAATAATTTTATTTAACAAATCTAATTGAACTTTAATTTATTTATATAATTTAAAATTCTTTATCAATCTTTCAAAAATGTTATAAAAATTATCAACTGCAATATATCTCGCATCCTATGACACTTCAAGATTAGAAAAATTTAAATATGAATTATCAGGAGAATGATATTACTAAATCTTTTCATATATTTCTGATTCATTTCTTAAAATTATTTTACATGAGGCTAAATAATAACCTATTTGTAAATAATTAATTGATATCTTATATCTTTTTCACTTATAATTAAAAGTTAATTTGTTTCCTTAATTTTCTTCTAGTGGTATATCACTTGATTAAAAGGAAAAAAAAATTATTAATTGTATCCATTAAATTTAAGTTGAATATTACATTTTATATTTATTAGAACAATTAATATAACCTTGTGAGAAACAGTCTTGATTTCGCTTAAGTTTGATTAACCAGTAATAATAAATTTTCAATCTCAATTTAGGAGTCGAGCTTCTTTATTCTTGATAATTAAATTAAATTTGTTACTTAATCTATTTGTATAATTTTATTATGAAGTCTTTTTAATTTATGTTATAAAAATTAATTATCTTATTGTTTTAAAAAATTTAATCCATTTGAAAATAAAATTCCAAGATAATACTCAAATATTTAATTTTCAATAGTAAATTTTTAGATTGAAGAGAAATATTTAGAAGTTTTTGGGGTAGTGGTTTTGGATTTTTAATCATAGTTTAATTTACAATGAATCTCAATTGCTTAAAGAAAATAATTTTAATTTTATCGACTCTAAACAATAAAAATTGGAGACAGCTTTAAATTGTGAGTGTTAGGGAATTTAAAAAGTTAAAAAATAATTTAAATTGACATAATTATAAGTGTCTTATTTTTAATTTTAAGGAAATAAAGGATAAACCTGTAAAACTTTCTCAAACCAGATACTATAAAGTAAGTAAATTTGAAATCTGTACAATAATAATAATGGATAATTTTGATGTATAATAATAATGTGATAAATATTAAATGAAAGGATAGATAAGATAGGTGAGCTTAGGGAAAGGTTAGAAAAATATGAAGAATTGAAATAATAATGTAATTTTGTTGTTTAAATTGTAAATAGGAATGTTAGAATCAATGCAAGTTGGTACATCCTTCATGAATATTTTTAAGTTCAGCTTCAGTAGCAGGTGTTGAAGGGATTGTAGATTTCCAGTGTGTCATTAAGACATCAGAAGCAAATTCGATGAATAAGGTATCTTGAATCATACAAGCATGTCCACAATGGTCAATTCCCTAAAAATAGATTAATAATAAAGAATACAGTTTTTCCATATTTACATGAGCAAGTAAGACCTAAATATCCTGATTGTGTAAATAGTTTTTATCCTTGACCATCTTTAGAATCATAGATGGATGAGACAGAATCTCCATTATATTATGAACAATATTCGACTAATTTGGTTGGGATATTGGTCAATCCATGATGATGTTCATAAATCCATTTAATAGCTGGAGTCATAGATGAGGAAGCAAGAACAGTACTATCTCCAATAGCTTTGATGATATGATCTGGGAAGTAGAAATCATCAGTGGAATCAACAATAGGTTATGGTTATTTGTTATATTCAAATTGGAATGGAGTCATTTCATGAGCACCATAAACAACAACCATAGGTACTCCTGGATGTTCAACATTATTAGCTTTAGGTCTGGTAGTTTCATCAACATAATCTAATATTTATTTTGCTGCATCGGGATTGATATTGTCATTAATAGCTTCTCTAGTTGATTCATCAGTAGAATAATATAGTTTATTAACTACTTTTAAAAAGTGTTCACTCATATCATGCATTAATAATTAACAATGATTAGATCTATCTGCAAAATCAGCACCACATATTTCACTAGGTTCTGGGAACCAAGATAAAGGATTTGGTCTTGATGGTCTTTTACCTGTAGAAATGAATTCTTTATCCCATTACATTCTATCAAGAATTTCTTACATCCATGGTTCATCTCTAAATCTTGTAAATGTATCTTTTGGATATAAATCCACTATACTAGCAGAAGTACGAGCCATTTTTCTTTAGGCATACCAATTTATACCTGCATCTAATATTAATACTTTAAACATAAAACTATCATCACCACCTACTTATGGTTTAAATGTTTTTGTTGCTCCTAATAAAGGTCCAGCTATTGTTACTATACCAGCAACTTTATCCTTTTCTGCTTAACTCATACTATAAACTGCTTCTGTTGAATGAAGTGAACCCAAAGAATGTCCAAAAATATATGTTTTCTTTCCTGTCAATCTATAAAATGTTTAAACTGATTTTTTAATGTATTATTATGATTCAGAAGCTGCGATAGATTTTCTAAAATCATAAGGTGCTGCTTGCATTGTTAATCCTGGAATATAACCCATATTTTTAAGTGTGTCTGAAAATACATGATATCCTTTTGGATCACACATTGCTGACTTTATTATTGAATCAGTTGCAATCTCTTAAATAGCTGTTGTTCCACATTCATTATCCATTGATTTTGGTGTATTACCAGCCCATGTTATTTCTATTCCTGGAGCTGCTGTATATCTTTCTCTTGGATCCTATTTAGATTTATCATAATAAAGTTCAATAAAATCACCAAAACATCTATCCTTCTTATTTGTCATAGCTATTGAAAATGGACCAGTTAATGTTCCTATCCACATTCTATATTCATCACTTGGTTTCTTTAACCAAAATTTTGATGCACTACAAGTTTGCCAACCACAATTCTCAAAAATATCTGGTCTTTTTGTTTATAATGTTTCACAATCAATCTTTACCTATTAAACTATACAATTCTGTATATATACCTATAATGCTGTACCTATCAATCCAGGTACCAATACTGCTGGTTAGCAAGGACCATTTATAAATTCATTCATATATGTCTCTAAACTCATCTTTGTATGATCTTTTCCATTTGTACACACATTTGCTGTACTCTTCAAAAAATCTGACATTTTCTCTTTGCGCTACCTTTCTTATTCTTGATATATCTCTTCATGATAATCTCTATATTTATTTATTTCTATTTTTACTCATATGCTGATTATGGTTTCCAACTTGGATCAAATCTGCTTATTCTTTTCATCTTTCCATCAGTTGATACTATAAATGTATCACCTTCAAACCATGGATTATAATCTGTGTTGTCAAGAAAAGGTACTATTGATAGTGTACCAATTGCCACTATTGCTAACAATTACTTTATCATTCAAAAATTATTTATTCCCAAATGATGTAATATCGCATGATATCATTCAACAATTTATCATCATTAAATTAATAATACATACAATTAATGATGGATTATTAAAGAATTTTAATTTCTTAATATAGAATCACAATCTTTAATCATCTTCTCAATGATATTTTATTCACAAATATCCCAAAATCATCGAACTCAAAATTCGCTCTATTTTAAAAATACTCAAACTTTTTACATTACTTACTTACACTTAAATATACTTATCCATTCTGACTTTATTTCTTAGAATTATATAAACACCAATTAACCCTTTATCTATTGAATAATGGATTTAATAAAATAAATATATTTTTAAAGAATTTCTAGGAAGATTAACTTTATTCTTGCTAAAAACTTTAAACTCATTTATACAATAATCAACAAACAAAAGGAGCTTATAAAACAAATTAATTTTATTCATTTCCTTATTAGAAATTCTTATTATCATTCATATTTTTATGATTAATCCTGTTTATTTAAAAATTATTTTTATAGTAATTATTACTATGATTTTTATTATAATTATTAATATGCTTGAAATTATTAATATGACAACAAGAAATAATAAAACTAAAATAAGTATTATTTTATTGATTTTGAAAATCGATTGAATTAGAAATCAGTTTATTTTGATGAAAATCAAATTCAACATGAGTTACTAAAGTATAATTAAAATAATAAGATAGATATTAATATGATGAAATTGTTTATTTATGCTTAGTTTATGGTTTTTTTTAAATTTATTCACTTCAATTACCTATTAATAAATTATCTTATGTTCATCTTGTAGGTTATTTTTATAAAAAGGAACAGTTTCTATGAAAAGGTAAAGACTTCAAATACAAAAAAAGCAAAAAAAAGCCAATTGTATGGTCTTGTTCTTTATGATCTATTAATTTTTAACTTCATTGATAAATTTTCCACAAAAATTAAAATCTTCATAACAAATATTAGATCTATTTGAACTTCATTATAATTGCAAATTTAAAATTATTTATGCAACATCCAATTTATAATTTAATTTCTTTACTAAGAATTCATAAATAATAAAAATTACCGAATACAATATCTTTTTAATACATTAAGAAAAACAAGCGATTAAAGTTCTCTACAAATTTAATATTCAATATTAGAAAAATCTAGACTATTCATCTATAAATAATAAATAGCATAACCTATAAAAAATTTAAATAACTTATAGTTTTTCTTTTAGCGCATTGTGTTAATTCATTCCTTAAAGAATTTCATTTATACATCACTATATTATTTAAGAACATCACAACATGTTTTAATTTTTTGATCCATCAAATTCCTCTTTAGTTCTCCTTCATATTTATTATAAATTAGATTTAACTGTTGTTGAAATTAGAAATTAGATCTTTTAAATAGGTTTTCTCACCTACTGCATCATCTAATTATTTATAAAATTATTAATTCATTATTTTATTATTGTTATAATTTAAATCTAATGATAATGAATAATAGGAAGAGTCTATTTGAGTACTCTAAATGGGATCTTTGGGTTCACTCTCTAAAGATTTCCATCTACAACCTAACACATAACTTACTTTTAAATAGTGTTGTAACTGTTCAATTATACAATTTCTTAATTTTATTGGAAACATTGCAAATGGTAATTGAAATAATATTAATATAATTTCAAGGTTTACTATTCATTACATCCATGCTTTTCATTCCTATTCGTAACACCCATTTTCAAATATTTCCGTTTGATTCTATCATATTTCTAACTAAATGAAGTGTTAGGCAAAGGATAATTAGAAATTTAGTTAGCACTTTTATATATAGTAATTCAAAATCACCTATTAAGGTATTCGCTGTATAATTACTTATGATTACATTGATAATTGCAATCTTATGCAATTTGAAAAAGCAAACTGCATTTTTTATCTATTCTTATAGGTTTATAGCATACTTTGGTGTATTTTTCAACACTGTATTACTGATTCCATTTACAAATGTTTACTTTGCCATACTTTATTGTGTGAATTCTAATTTTGAATGTTATGTTGGTACTTACTATATTCATTTTGTTTTTTCAGTAAAAAATGCTTAATAATGTAGTTTCTTGGATTATCTATGCATTTTGTTTAGATTATCTATTTTAATTTAGTATTCTAAGAACAGAATCCTTTTTCTAGTATTCCATTTGCTAGTCCTTAATAAAGTGCTACATTAATCAAATAAACAATAAAATTTTTTTTACCTATTTATACTATTTTTGATTATGAAGGATCACTAGATAGAGTATTCATATCCTTATTATGTTTGTCATACATTTATTTAAATATTTAAAGATTTAAGTAACCTAAATACTATAATAAATGGGTTGCGTATGCTTTTTAAATATAAGAGGTCACTTTATTCTGGATAACACTTGTTAGTTTCTTTACTGCATTTATTAATTATAATAAAGCGGAAGATATTGGATTTTTCTATATGATTATAGGTATTCCTTTATTAATTCTTGTTTACTTTCATCTATTGCATTTACAAAATAAAAAGGTTTTGTCACTTTTATTTAGAAATATAGAAAGAGATATTGAAGCTGAGATATATTTGATGGAGATAATAAAATTGATTAAGTAGAGAAAAAAAACATGGTCAAGAATGTTGTTAGAGGGAAAATTAAGATTACATTTCAAAGGATGTTAAAATAAAGAATGCATTTGTAAAGCTTTAATGCTTGATAGTATTAAGGAAGAGGAAGTTGATCAACATTGGTATAATTTTCTGGGATTTTTACTGAATTAAATGAGAGAAAAATTCAATAAAAGTTGTAGAATAAATCTTTTATTTGCATTTTTATTGAATGATTAACTGAATAATCATTTTAAAGCTTTAACTGAGATGATGTTTGCTGAAGATAATAAGCCTTCTTTGTAAGAGGAATTAGCTATGTACCATTATAAAAACATAATCTAATAAAAATTAAAAGATATGGAATAAAAAACAAATGAAAATAAGGGGATTGATGTAAATGGAATAATGGTGTTTTAGAATACTTTTATAATATTTTTAAATGCAGTTGAGAAGACTGTAAATTATCACATAGAATATTGGAGAGAATTATTAGAAATAAATCCTGATATTTTGAAATTGAAAGCAGTAGGATCGAAAATAACAAAGAAATTAGAATAGACTATGATTTAGTATTAGAAATTATAGGAGCTGAGTTCTAATCATATTTAATTCTTAACAATTTATGGGAATTTTTTAAAAGAAATTGTTAATGATGAGGATGAATCAAATAGAATTTTGGATAGAGTTTAGATTTTGATAAAATAGTTTTAGAATAATAAAATTCATGATTAAATTAGATTGAAATATGGAGAGAATGCAAATACATGTATAATAACATGTTCAGCGAATTTTAATAATATGGGAGTAGTTACAAATTGTAATAATGAGATTACACGTTTATTATAATTTAGCAAAAGTGATATTATGGGAATAAATATTAATTGTATAATGCCAAGAATATATGCTAGTCATCATGATTAATACATGATTGATTATATTGATACAAGTAAACCAAAAGTAATGGATAAGGAGAGAATTTTATGTTGTATAAATTCATAATAATATTTGGTGCCTTGTTCTTTAATGATAAAAATATTGCCAAATTTAGATGAAGGTATAAAGATGGTAGGTTTCTTATAAGATTATAATAATTAATAAGAATCAAACGAAGAATGGCACTATATTTTAGTAGATGGTTATACTTAGATAATTTTGGGTATAACTTAATCATGTACTTAAATATTTGGAATTCCATAATCAATAATGACAAATAATACATTTAAATAGAAATTCACATTTGATGTTCTCTTTCCAAATATTGATGAGCATCTAAATATGGAAGATGGAATTTTAGCTTATTTAGATACAACTTAACTTTAAGAGGATTATTTATAAGGAATTGGAGAGAGTCAGAGTGAAATATCAGTGGATGAAGATGATGATTAATTTTGTGAGTTTCCTAATGATCCATTGAGATAATCAAATGATACTAGAATACAAAGATTTTTATTAAAACCAGTCCAAGTAAAATAATAAGATTAAGTGTCAGATACACCAAGTCCATTATTTAATAGATTTTAAACTGTTGATTTTAAAAAAAGAAAAAATGAAAAATTATAAAGATATAAGAAATATAAAATTAAATTGGTTTTATGTGATGAACTAAAAATAGGGGAATGTAATTTATAGATTATTAAATTTATGTTGATAAAAGAAGATGAATAGGATGAACAATTACTTAAGATTGAATCTATTAATTCAAAATAAAACTAAAATAATTAAGAAAATAAAATAAGTGAACATTTACAACCAGTTATTGAGGATGGGAATTCAAGTAGGTCATCTAGAACTGAAAATAATTAGAAAGAATTAAAAGAATTTAAATAAATGATATCATCAAAAACTTAACCTAGATCTATCATTATTTTGAAGAGAACTGTTTGGTTTATTATGATACTTTTATTAACTCTAAGCACTTTGATTATGGCTTATCGAGTCATTTAAAGCAATGATGTAAAAGAAGGTGTAAATGCTATCAATTAGGGATATTATAGACATAACATAATATCTGATGTTGTTTATAATGCTCGTAAATTATAATTACTTTACAATAATACTATTGATGATGCTGATTTTACTATTGTAAAAACAGATCTATAATACTGGGTTAATTAATTATAATAATTGTAATATGATTTAATCAATGTAAGACTTATTATGGAAAATAGAAAAGGAAACAAAATCTAACCTTAAGAATATACTACCAAGTTTTTGATGTCAAATGGATAAGAAAGTAATTAAGACTTACTCTTTGATGATGCTATGATGTATTTCATTACATCTGGTTCATAAGTAGAAAACTCTTCCAATGAATCTTTTGTATCCTATTAAAGTAGTGGTTATAAAAATTTCTATTTTCTCATCAATAATGGATACTATGTTCTAAGAAATGGATCAGAAAATATCGCCAACCATTTCTATGAATTTTATTCCGATCTCATCTAAGAATACTTAATAAAATTCCTCATCATCATGATTATTGGCATTGCCTTCCTTATTATATCTTCCTTAGTTCTGATTCCAATTGTTTCATAAGTTCATGATACCAATAATAAAGTGTTGTCACTTTTTGGTATCATTCCTGTTAATGAATTAAAGGATTTGGTTACAAAATGTGAAAATTATTTAAAGAATTTTTTAAATGAATAAAGAGATACTAATAAATATTAAAAAATATCTGAAGCATAAATTACTCAATAAAATATAATTCAAACATCTGCACATGGTGATTAACCATTAATCACAAAAGAAGGTTAAGATAAATAAGAGAGTAATGAAGATGATGGCAGTAAAATAATTCAAAAACCTTAAAAGTTATTATCATCAGGACATCAAAGTATTAGTCATGTTAAACAATTATCAAATTTAACTACTGATGGTCAACCTCAAATTCCAATACCTGTTTCTCAAGGTCCTACTAAACATGATTTAAAACATTCATTAAAGATATAGTAATAAAAGGAGGAAGAAAAAGATGAAGATTAAGATAATTTAAAAGCTAATAAATTATTAAATTCTTAAGGAAGTCATAAGTGTGCTGTAACAATATAATTTATATTCTTTGCTCTTTTATTTATTTCATACTTCGTTTTGGATATAATTTTAGAATCCTATTTCCTCAAAGAAACTTAAAACATTTTTGATCATTTAAAGAATATTTAAGATAGGCCCTTAAATATAAAATACTTTATGTATTTATCAATAGATCAATTGCTTTAAGAAGATATTACTTTAATATAAACTTATCGAACAATGTTTCAGAATAGATAATCAGAAAATGAAAGAAACATTTCTTTTGAAATTTAATAGTCTCATCCTTAATAGTTTGACTCTTATTTTTCATTATTAGCTGATATTTCCTTTAATAATCTATGTAATTATCCATTTACTGTAAATCAGTTTACTTTAGTTGCATCAACTTGTTTAGAAGTATAAGCCGGACTATTATCATAAGGATTAAAAACAACAATAGCATCTGTTGCATTAAATTCAAATGATATGATTTCAAAATGGTCTCTTAGTGATAAATCATTCGATGATCTTACTTAAATTCTAAAGGAATATTACGTAAAATTAGATACTATCATTTAATATGTATCTAATTGTTGTTATTATTTAACTATAAAGTATTAAGAAGCAACATTAGATTATCTTCAATACTCAGAAACAATTGAATAAATCAAATTTTCAGTGTTTTTAATTGTAATGTTCTTTGTGTTCATATTTTGTATGACACAATATTAAAACAATTTGAGTGAATAAATCTGGGAGACAAAAGTATATAATATTAATGATTATTAAAGGGTTTGTTAAATATGATTCCTTTAGAAATAATAGCGAAGTACTAGCATTTGAAAGAATAGTTTGTTGGAGGAGAAATACTTAAAGCTGTTTAATGATTAAATAGTTAATAATTACTCAATATGAGGACAAGAGATATATCGAAAGATCTTTAATAATAAAAATATTAATAATAATAATATTATATAATATCATTCTCTGATTTAGCTTACTTTTTTTGGGTTGAAACTTAAATAAACTATTTGAGGACTTAATGGATCTTCAACAACTTGGTATTCGTCTCTTTGGGTAGGAGGATCTGCTTTGTCTTCCTCATTCCTTTGTTAATATACAGTCTCAACAAGTTTGATAGTAGGATTACTCATATTATATTTTCTTTGCATTGAACTATTTAATTAAGATTAAGAATCAATCATATCACCTTTGATAGCATCACCTCTATATGAAATAATAGGGCTAGGACTAGAAATACCTCCTCGTCTTTAATAGTATGATTCTGGAGAATGAATCAATGTATATCTAAAATCTCAATAGTTTTAATTACCTTTTTGCTTTTAATGTTCTTTAGGCTTTTCTAAAGAGTAGTTCTTTTACTCTTGCCCATCTTTCTCGAATTCTCTTTTGCTTCTATTATTTTGTTGTTAAAAGTTCCTTTAAATTTGGATATTTATCTATTAAGTATGGACAAGTTCTAGTTATAAAGTTTTTGACTTTATCAAAACACTCTTGGTATTATGCTAAATATGAAAAGATAATTTGTAGAACGAGATCTAAAATGTATAATATGTTAATAGTTGCTGTAATTATATAAAATGGCCATACGATTTCAAATTAACCTCCAACCTATGCTGAATATATAGTTGAACATAATATTATAGAAATTGAACAAACCACAGTACAATAAGTATCTAATCTATTGAGTTTATAAACATAATAAGGATTTATTTTATTACTAAGAACATGATAAATAAAGACTATTAAAAGAATCAATGATGCTTTAATACTTACTTAATCTTCGTAATAATTAAGTGCTATAATTATTGTTTGTTTTTGTAATAATTTTATTGTCTCCCAATAGTAAGCTTCTTTTTTATATTCATTGTAAAGAAATCCCCATGTTTATCTTACTTTAATTTTTAAGAGATCATTTTTATTCTTATGTACTTGATACCAAAACAAAAATGGGATCAGCACACCTATTATGAAGAGAATAGGAACAATAACATAAAGTAACCAATTCTAATGAGAGTCAGTTTAATACAAATAGGCTACATTACCTTATATGAATTCTATTCCTGATATGGATCTTTTACTCAACTGAGATATCATACTATAAACATATTATATTATATTATGTACTTCTAAATTAAATTAGGCTACATGTATATATAAAAATAGATAAGGGTGGTAGTTATTACTCCGATATTAAATTTTGTGAGTCGTACAAGAATTAATAGGAAAAAGAAAAAATATACCAAAAAAATGAAAAATAAAGGAGTGGCTACCATCCAAATAAATTCCATGTATATAATTTTCATATTTGAAATAGATATTAAAAAGCAATCCAATGAATAAACCATACTTTGAGTAGGATTACCTACACTATTTGTTGATTATTGTATTTCAGGTGGTAAGGAAAGTTAAAAAGTAAATATACTTGAAATTATCTAAGCATAATTAGTTAACAATTTTATTAAAATTGTAGACATAATTCTTACATTTGTAGGTATGCCGAAAGCTCCCTTTACTTTTGTAAGCAAAATGAATTCCACCGTATCATCATAATTACTTTTTACCNTTCTTTTACTCTTGCCCATCTTTCTCGAATTCTCTTTTGCTTCTATTATTTTGTTGTTAAAAGTTCCTTTAAATTTGGATATTTATCTATTAAGTATGGACAAGTTCTAGTTATAAAGTTTTTGACTTTATCAAAACACTCTTGGTATTATGCTAAATATGAAAAGATAATTTGTAGAACGAGATCTAAAATGTATAATATGTTAATAGTTGCTGTAATTATATAAAATGGCCATACGATTTCAAATTAACCTCCAACCTATGCTGAATATATAGTTGAACATAATATTATAGAAATTGAACAAACCACAGTACAATAAGTATCTAATCTATTGAGTTTATAAACATAATAAGGATTTATTTTATTACTAAGAACATGATAAATAAAGACTATTAAAAGAATCAATGATGCTTTAATACTTACTTAATCTTCGTAATAATTAAGTGCTATAATTATTGTTTGTTTTTGTAATAATTTTATTGTCTCCCAATAGTAAGCTTCTTTTTTATATTCATTGTAAAGAAATCCCCATGTTTATCTTACTTTAATTTTTAAGAGATCATTTTTATTCTTATGTACTTGATACCAAAACAAAAATGGGATCAGCACACCTATTATGAAGAGAATAGGAACAATAACATAAAGTAACCAATTCTAATGAGAGTCAGTTTAATACAAATAGGCTACATTACCTTATATGAATTCTATTCCTGATATGGATCTTTTACTCAACTGAGATATCATACTATAAACATATTATATTATATTATGTACTTCTAAATTAAATTAGGCTACATGTATATATAAAAATAGATAAGGGTGGTAGTTATTACTCCGATATTAAATTTTGTGAGTCGTACAAGAATTAATAGGAAAAAGAAAAAATATACCAAAAAAATGAAAAATAAAGGAGTGGCTACCATCCAAATAAATTCCATGTATATAATTTTCATATTTGAAATAGATATTAAAAAGCAATCCAATGAATAAACCATACTTTGAGTAGGATTACCTACACTATTTGTTGATTATTGTATTTCAGGTGGTAAGGAAAGTTAAAAAGTAAATATACTTGAAATTATCTAAGCATAATTAGTTAACAATTTTATTAAAATTGTAGACATAATTCTTACATTTGTAGGTATGCCGAAAGCTCCCTTTACTTTTGTAAGCAAAATGAATTCCACCGTATCATCATAATTACTTTTTACCGTTATCACTCCAAGTATTAAAGTGCTTTAAATAAATAAATAAATTACAAGCATGCAATAATTACTATAATTATAATATTCCATTTCACATCTTCACAACTACCACAATTATATTACGTACTTACAGAGTAAGATCCTTCTCCTCTTGTGTTATATAAATCACATTATTCACACAAAGCTCCAATGTGTCCCTGAATGCATGTTGGATCACCATATTTCCATCCCCCTAAACAATTAGTAATTTAATGATAACAATATTCAATTTTAGTACTATTGAATACATATCTCCAATAATGAGGTTTCATTTAGACAGTTTATCTCTTTACTTAAACAGTACTTACATCATCTTTAAAATAACAAAAAGACTATCCTTCCAAAACCTAAAAATAGTTTTATGTAGCATCACATTATCGACATTGATTTATATATATGTATTCTCCTACTTAACATTTATAGGTTTTAATATTTAATCTCATTTCATAATCTTTAATTGTATCTTTATATTTATATGGATAATCATCTTCAAATCTTGAAATTTCAACATAATCACATGAAATTGATAATTAATAATAAAGAGATGGATCTGAATAGGGATCAAAGTCAATGATTAATTAATTTATAAATTTCTCGGCAGATTAATAATCAGAAACCTTAATCGTCATAAGATCATTAAATGTTGTATTTTCTAATGGATTGGATTCGTTCATAATCCTATATTTGGTAATAAAATTATAAATAACTCCTGAATACAATTCCGTTTTTTCCTATTAAACATTCACCAATGTTATTGATAAATTAATGTTTAAAGGTATGAATGATTCAGTCGCTTTATCAAAATAAGAATAATTTTCATAAGTTTATCCACTTGGAAGCATCAAGTATTTTGTTAAATTTTCTATTCCTGGTGCTTTGTAAGGTTTTACATATATTTCATCAATAATCTTTGTATCATTTTTGAATATCTCAACTGATCTTAAAAAATTGAGACCATCATATTTAAACTATAATCTTCTTGCTCTAAATTCGCATAAATTAGCCATAAATGACTTATCTTTTCGATAATTAAACTATATTATTGAATTACTCTTTACAAATTCAGGAGAGAGTGGACTTACAGATATTCTTATGGGATTGGCAAAATTCTTATATTCGATTTCATTATTAGTAATTAGTAGATTGAAGAAATAATTATAAACTTGAGCATGATTATTTGTTTCTATTATAAATGATTATTATTGGGTGATATTTGTGATAATTATGGATTTAATTAGTGATTAATAATTCATAATCAGGAAGCCTGAATACATGGAAAATATTCCTAAATGATTAATAATTTATTCGAGTTATAATGGTTATTGATTCATTGTATTTGTGGTTTATTAAAGTAAACGCTAAGTTTCACCAGGACCTAAAATTCTTAAGAATTCATAGCAGTTGTTTTCAATTGATAAAACATGACCAATATACAAAACTTTGTACATTTTTGGAAATAAATTCATTTGTAAATCAAAAACGTAATCTAAAAAATCCAATTAACTAGATAGCATAGTAAAACTTTTGATATATTAAAACTAAAACATTGTATTTCCATTTAAACTATAAGATTTAAAAACATCCATAAGACTATAACCAACCTAAGATAGTGAAAATTTAAGTAATAAATTTAGATTGCAATCTGTATTATTTTAAAAAACAGTATCATTTATAATAGAAGTTATTCCTCTTCTTAAAAATCGTTTCTAGTTGCATTACTGATGAACTGAGTCAACCATAAAACTCATTCCACTTTTACATTAGGTTGTAGATGTATAAGGATAAGCAGTTAAAGTATCTATGTAAATTTCATTTAGTATTATATAGGACTTATCAAATAAATAATTATTTCCATAGTAAAATTAATTAAGATATATACTCCTTGGTTTATAAATCAAAATGTTATGAATTGTACAACGTAAACAATCTTAGAAGGCAAAATACCCAAAATAATAATGAGAATATATTTTAAAGTTTTCTAATTTGATATTTCCATTTTAAGTGACTACCAACATTGCTTTTTACTTAATTTAATTACCATAGTCTGATTTAAATCCTTATAGTTCCCCAAAGTATTATTTAATAACAGCCAAATCAACTGTCCAAACTACATTATCTATATATAAATTTGAATTATCTTCATTCCTAAATAAAACATAAATAAAGGAACCCAACAAAGATATTACATTTTTCATTTTTAAATTCCTTATTTGTATATTATTGAATTTCTGAGATGGTTCAATATATATAGCTCCTCCTTCAACTTTTGCCATTACTTTATCAAATACACAATCAGATAAACTTAATTATATCATAGCAAATTATCCATCAATCCATAATCCACCTCCTTATCCATCTGAATTTGAAGATAAATCTGTTTTCAAATTTATAAATTAACAATTATTGATATTTATGATTCCTTACTCTAAAGTTTAAATGTATAATCCACCTCCTAATAATGCTTCTGATGAATCAAAAATACAATCTTAAATCATTATATTATCTCCATAATAAAATCCATTACCTCCATATGATACAATTCGATAAGTTTCTTTTATTTATTCAATGTACACTTCCTCAGGAAATGAATCACTTATTTTATTGTAAATCAATTCTAAATCATCAAGGTTATTATTTTTATAATAATTATTCTTTATAGTTATTTACGATCCATAAAAATACATAATTGAATATGTAGTGTTTATTGCATGATTACTAATAAATCTACTATTATTTATTTCTATTGAACCTTAAATATTCAAAAACATTAACACTGTTCCTAAAATTGAATTTACATCCGAGATGTATGAATATAAAATGTTGTTCATAGCCTCACATTATTAAATTTTTATTGTTGATTTTGATTTAGAAACAAATTTTATTATACCTGAATTTACTTATGGTTATTCTATAAAAATATTATTATCTGAAAACTAACTATTTTAAATTGTAGTTGTTATTCCAATTCCATCATTCTCTTCTATTCCAATTACAAAACCATTCGCTACACTCAACCACAAAATTTATAAATTATCAATCAATGTTTATCGAGTGTTTAAGATTTCTATCAAAGGAGTATATAACACAAGATTTTCATAGCTATCTAAACATGTCTAAGAAGGTTAAATTATTATTTATGACTCCTCTTTTTATTTTAAGATACAGTTTTTTATTTCTATTGAATTAAATTATAAAAATAATTCTATTATACCCATCTATTTTATTATATTTAAATTGTTGATACTCAAAGTCTTGCCAAATAAATTAATAAGATGTTTTTTATTATTACTCTTATTAAAAAATTATGTATTTGGCACATTATTGATCATTTAAAAATCATCAGCTATGATCTACAAATTGCTATTGTTCTACATATAAATAAATGAATCATAATTGAAATAAGTGATTTATTGGAATAATACTTATTTCCATGCTAACATTAACCCAATATTTATCTATACAGAATTTTAATCATAATTAGTGAAAAATTTACCAAAATGTATTATGTTATTTGTAATCTTAACATTTTATAAATTAAATCCGAAGGAATAAAAAAAAGAACTTTCATTGTAAAATTCATTCCCTTTTAAAACACAATCAACAAGGTTTGTAATTTAATATTATAAATTAAATAAATAATTTTATCCAAATATTTAACTATCTACTAAGTTAAACTTCTCTAAATTTGAATCCCCTTTATTGCTACTTGAATTACTAATAGTAATAATAGAGGAATTGATAAATTTAGCTTTAATCTCAATATTTTATAGCATGAAATTGAATTTAAAATTATTAAGATTTTAAAATTCAAATATGTTTAAATTACTAAAAGTTGAATCCTATATATTCAATTAATCAATATCTAAAATAAAGGTTGATGATTAAAGTTAAATACTAAATAGTGCATATTTATATAGCTTGACATTCAAAATTTTAAAGTTGCTAAGTTTTAAAGTTTGAACTTCTAGAAGTTTGAATTGTAAAGCATTATTATCTTATTAATTATTTAATGTTGTGTACTAACAATCGATTATTTGAATTTAAAATGATTTATCATAACTGATTGCATCTATTATATGAATTTCGTTATTTCCATTAAATATGAAATTTTAAAAAACTATTGATGTATAATTTTAAAGTTGCCATAAATCAGGTAATTAAAGGGATAATAGATTATCTGAAAAGAATTTAATTTTCACACTCTAAAGATTAAAAATATATATGAGAAATTTCTAATTTAAAATAAATTTGTTATCACCAAAGGAGCATTATCCTGAATTTGAAATCAATTTAATTTAAAATGATATTTACTAGATTAAATATTCATTTAATTAATCTAAAAATTATTGATTCAAGAAACTCAATTCAAATTAAGTTGTAAAATCGTCTAAATAAAAATTATTAATAAAAAAACTCTCATCTGCATTTTAGCTTTGTTATTCAAACTCAGCTTTCCAACAATAAACATTAATTTAAATTGAAAAACTTTATTAACAATTGTCAAAATTCTTACAACTTTATGCAATTTAATTAGACATCCTAGTTTTAGTTTTTAATGGCATGTAACATTTGTTAGAATACTTTTAAAAAATAGGTATTGATTAATCAAATAGAGGATTTATTTTTAAAATCTCCTCTTAAGTTCTTTCAGAACAAGCTAAACAACCAGGTGGACATTCTAAACAATTTTTATCACTTTGAATTTTTTAAGAAATACTAGAACATTTAATACATATATTCTAATTATTGATAGTTTAACAAGTTTCACAATTTTAAGGACATTCATTAATACAATTACCATTATTAAGAACATATCCATCATTACAATCAAAACAAGTTAACTCAAATAAATCTTAGGATATTTAAAGTAAAGAATTTAAATATTAATTTAAAATTCCTTTTTAATAAAACATAATTAAGGTAATTAAGACTCTGTCTGAATTTCTAATTAGTAAATTAAAAGCACACTCTCTGCATTTTGATGGACAACCCATACAAGTTCCAGAGAGTAAATCAATGTAATAACCACTTTTGCATTAAACACAAAAACCAGTATCTTTAATACAGAATAAACAATTATTGGTACAATCGCTGTCTTTTTTGAGAAGAGTTGAATCTTATCCAAATAAACATGTATTTTCATTGATACTATAAGTACAAGTAGTAGAAGCTACTGTTGTACATTTTTTATTAAGTTCATTGTAATTATTAGTTGAACAATGACAACAAAATGGTTCAGTGATGAGGTCTGTTAGTGGATCAAATAAATATGGAATAGTTGATTTATCTCCTTATTTATTGTATTCATTTAAACAATCAGTTATTTCAAAACTTTCACAATTAAATCCATCATCGGATATTTTAAAATTATTTAAACATTTCAAACATCTATTTTAATTATCCTTGAAGGCACACTTTATACATTTATATCCACATTATTATTCTATATTAGTATCTAGCAAACATTGCTGAAGGATGGAATTGAAATAATAATTTGGTAAACATTAAAGGCAAACATTATTTGAACATATACTACAGAATTGATCACATTATACACACTCTCCATCTTTAAAATAATAATCTAAATAAGATTTTTAAATATATTACTTGGCTTACACCTAATTTTAATTAATTGACCAAAATTACTATACTTATATATTTAACAATCATCATCATTACAAATTTCCAAACAACCTCTACAATTATTTACAGAAACTGAATTGACATCAATTATATATAACTATGGATCTTATTTCAATTTTATAAAAGTAGATTCTTCATCAAGAGGATCACTTAATTAGTAATTATAAGTGCATTTCAAATTAAATTACCAATATGATTAATTTTCAAAGCAATCTCCACAATACAGGGTAGTTCCTATTTAAGAAAATGGACTTAAAATTAATAATTAATCATACCAATCAATACAATATTATTATCCTTTGTAATCAATTATAAATTATCCGAAAAAACATTAAATTTTTTCATATTTTACTTCTTCTATTTAAAAAAATGAATTTTATTATAGTTCTAATAATATTTTCAATTCTTACATGAACATTTCTTTTGATTGGGGAACTAAAAGTAATTTTCATTACAAACGCATATATTTTATTTTAATTAACGATTATAAGTACTTTCACATTCTGTACAATAATTTTATGTAGGTCCATTACATGTTTTACAACTTTTGTCACAGACTAATAAAAATTGATAATAAAATTATACTTAATTAATAAGTATATGGTTTTTATATGCAAGAGTTAATTGATACTTCTCCTAATCTCCCTGAGAAATATTATAAGAGTTTATTATTTGAACCTAAATAAAAGTATAAATCTGTTCCAGTAAAAAATAATATTAAATTAGGATATCTTTATGTGTTGAATTGATTTGCTGATGGAAAGAATAAATCTATTCCAGTTTATGAGGTTTGTTCTCTATCATACATAATAGTAATAAAATGCCATTGAGAAACAAGGTTTACCGTAGATATAATAGTTATTAATTCCGCTTTAGAATAATACGCATTTTGTTCATATATTTATGCTTTCAATTATATTTAGACATCAGGTCCTCCATTAATTACACTACATGTTAGATCTAAAAGAACATTTCGTGCATCAATTATATTAAATGTTGTTATGTTCTCATCTCTAACTTATAATAAATGATAATTTTAATTATTCTTAAAATATTAATGATTACACATACATTATTGATAGATAATTTATACCAAGCTTTAAATTCAAATGTGTTATCTAATACAAAATTACTCTTAAGAATCAATGATGGTGAAGTTTATATGCCACTTATCAAAGTTTATTTGATAGGATTACATTTAAGATGATCTTAAATACAAGTCGTCAATCCACTTTTAAATTAAGGATTATCAATGTCTAATGACCCTTTATACACATTTAACGAGGATATCAGCCCTTGGAATTAATTGAAGTATAGACTTTAGTAGTAATCTGAAAACTTAAATTTATTTTTTAAATACATATCCGTATCCTCCAATACTTAATTATATTGTTGTTTAGCCAATTTCAAAATCATTCTGATTTATATTTAAAGTTTAAGTAACATAATTAAAAATCAAATGATCTATTTTCTTATCGGAATATGAAATTTTATAAAGTTCGTACTGCCAAACACCTTCTAAAAAATTTTAATTGAAAGCTTATTTAGATGATACATTTTCATCTACATTTATTATCATGGTTTCTAGATTCTAATTATTGATATCAAAATATGAAAATATTCGATATAATTTTGCTTATTTGTCATAAACTCTAAGTAACAACTAGCCAGACGCAACTAGTACACCTTTGGAAGAGCTCGCTTAAAAATATTAGGTTTAAATTTTTAATTTGGGTTAATACTTAAACCAAAAAGAAAAAGACACTTCTTGATTGATCTCCAATTCATTTGAGAAGTATTAATTATTCTGATTCAAGCTTTGAAAATTCATTATTGTTTGAGAGCATTCAGCTTTAAGAACAGCGCTATATAGTATATCCTTTAGTTAATTACATCATCCCAGCAAGAATGGTCAATTCTGTGATCATTTTAAGTGTTTAATAATTTAAATATAAGAATATTAATAGATCAAAATAGCATCTTAATGGATGTTTATTTCACTATCTTCTTCTAATTAATTTTAAAACTTTTTTTATTTTAGAAGCAACAAAACATTTTATTGAGTACTCTGATATGCGAACTTTTTTAATTTTGAATTTTTTCATGTCAAATGAATTTTTGAATCTTTTGATAACACAATCAAAATTATTATGAGGATAATAAATTTTGAATTTTCTCATTGTTTCAAATTGGTTAAAAATGAGATCATTAAAAAGGTACTCTTCATTCTAATATAGTAAAAAGCATTACTTCAGGAGTTGATAAAGCTTAAAATTAGGACTGTTAACATAAATTACTTTATCGTGTTCCACTTTTTTATTTTAATTTATTTTCATCAGATAATGTATTAATACTATTTGCTAAATGTACAATTTCTCTTGTTTAATTTGATAATTTGAGTGATTTATTCTATTTAGAATTCTAAGAAGGATTATTTGATATATCTCTTGAAAATGAATTAGTATTTGTTTTTGATCTATTAGTTAATTGTCTTAAATTAGATTTTTAGTTTTATTATATAATTTGTTGGTTGTTGCGATTATTTTAGACCATAACCATTTATTTACAATCTTTGTTTTAATCCTCTTATAATTAAAAAAGGATTTCTTTTTCATCTTTATCTAATAATGAAAAATTTGCTGGATTTCCCAAAAATCCTGCTGTTCTATTAGAGTCATCTCTTTTTCTTCTTATTGTTATTTTAGGAATGATTATACCAACCTCATCAGCTTCTTCTTCATCATTAAACTATTCAATACTGTCCACATTAAAATTACTATTTGATACTTAAAAATCTTAACTAGCTTTTTAAAAAGGCATAGAATTGCTTAATTAACTAGCGGAATGAGTTTGATCTTATGATAAATTAAAAGATTTACTTTCCGAATAAGGTAATTAAGAAAAATCTTGTAATTCTTCAGAAATAGCTTCCTAACTTTGTTTAGCATTAATAATAGATCTGATTCTCTCTTGATTAGAATTTAGATTCCTTAATGTTAGATATCGCTTTTATTTTCTGATCATAGATTTTCGATATTATTTTGTGCTATATAAATATCTTTCTAACACATTTTATCGTTGTGGAAAATATTATAAATGTCTACATTCCACTATGTAATCACCTCGAATTTTACAGTAATAGCAATCAAACAAAAATTGATTATAATGAGAATTATCTTTCATCATACTGAATCTTTCATTATCTTCTGGATAATTAGATATTATCTCTAAAAAATCAGATCTTTTTAATTTCATCAATTAAGTTACACCACAACTATAAATACTTATATTTGAAGGCATTCCAGAAATAAATGAATGTAATCCAAATGCTTAACCCTCTACAAGTCTAGTGACAGATCTTTTATTATTTGCTAAGGAAGACCCTTGAAATTACACTTTCACTTCCCCTTTTAATATATAATATAAACTAAGATCCTCAGCTTTGTGTTCCTAATATTTAAATCGATAATTTAAAATTACAATTAAAATATTATCTTCTGGATTGAATGTTACCTACTCTATCATGTACAACAATTGCTATTTGAATTAAGAAGAGAACTTATTCATTAACTCTATTTTTTCTATCATTTTAGTCCTTAATGCTATTTCTATCTCATCTTATAAAGCTGGACTTAATTTTTTCATTATTTATTCTTTGGCTCTACCTAAATCTTCCTATTTTTAAATATCATAAAATACATCAATTCTATATTCTAGATAAGAATAACATCTTCTCAATAAATCATAATCTTTACACTTCTCTTAAAAATGTTCCACAAATCCCTTTAATAATTTTTACTTTTCCTCTTAAATTTCTATATTTGGTTTAATCCAAATCCATAGTAAAATAAAAGTATAGACATAACACCAATAACATATTATTGAAAATATTGAAACTACAATCAGGTTTTTCTCATTCAAATGCAACGCTAAATTAATATATCAACTTACATATATTTCCATTATGGGTTAATAATGAAATCGAATAACTTAAATACAAGGATAAGGATTAATCTTCATCATCATCAAATACTCTTATTTAAATGATATAATTACTCTTTAAACTACAAATAAGACTAATTATTATGGATATCCATAATTATATTATTATCACTATATAATGGGTTGATCTGTATAAATTTTCAAATGGCTCAACAATTCTTAACATTTCCAGTATAATTAAGATCATAATCAATGTAATCATTAAAATTTGATTATCAAAATTTAAATTATAATTGATCAATAAAATAAGTAGTCTAAATAAATCTAAATGCATTTTTTTTTAATTCTTATAATTTTGTATTATTTTCCCTCTAAACAACTTATATGGACCTCTTTAAAAATATAAATCTAATAAGATCACTACGATCTTATAACAAAATATAATTAAAGAAATAAATTCTTATATTTAAAAAGTTTTATTTAATGGTATAAGAATAATTGTAAGCATGCTAGATGAAAATGAAGTCAAAAACATGAACAATGTGAAATAATAATATTAAAATGGGGAAACTAAATCAAATATTCTTTTTATTACCTTCTTAAAATTCATGAGTTATTAGAGGATCATTATATTTTGAATAATGAATTGAGTTAAGCAATCGTTATTTAATTTATTCTATCATTATTTTCACCTTACCATTATTATAAAAGTGTTTCCTTTCTTTTTATAACAAATGTGATTATATCATTTAAGAAGGTGATAAGAAGGAACTATCCTCTTAAGAAAATATAAACTTTTTTGATTCCTACCTATGAATTTGTTGATCAGTGCTTTTATGCGATACATTATTTGGAATTGTTGGTATCTTTAATTCTTCATTACTTTAGAGATCATTTGGTTAATGTGGTAACATTTGAATAAATTACGGTTTCAATTAACAATTTTTAAGATTTGTTTAGTGCTCTTTTTATTCTTAACTTACTCTACTATCTTATTTTCTTATACCTTTTATGAATGTTTGAATTATAATCCACCTATTGTTTCTCTTTATCTAATACAAATAAGGATTTGCTAATTAACATATTTATAATAATTTTGAAATAATCTACACTAATATATTTGCCTAAAAGATGGAAATTTTTGAATTTAAATTTCATTAACTTTACGATTTTTAACATTTTTAACAATCTGATAAGGAATAACTTGAAAAAATAATAATTTATTAAAAGTGGATAATTGCAAATAATCAAACGAAAATTCTTTTCTCACTCCATTAGCTTTTATTAAGATGCTAATTTATTATATTTTAATTCCCCTTGAAATTCAATATTATTCATTAGACCATTAAAAAGTTTTTTTATTATTAAATATTTGATCTTCTAGTCTTAATATATTGTTACTACTACTAAAATCCTAGTTTTTGGCTTGATCTTCTTTCTTTATCAGACTATTTTGTAGCTTAATATTAGATTACATATATTATTTTCTTTAATTAATTCTTAAGTAACTTGATTGCTTTATCTATTACTTAGTCTGATTAAATTGTATGAATTTTGATAAAATTGATGCTTTTTATCCTGAAAATTTTAATCAATTATTTTATTTTTTGTATTATAATAATAAATTTTACTATTAGTGTCTTCTTCGTTTAAATTTTTCTAAATCATTTTATCAGGTTCTTATGTTCCAAAAAGATTTATAACATTTTTAAAATGATTTCTTTTATTATAATTGTTAATGATAAAATATTTTTGAATAAGTTTCAGATTTGGCCTATTTTTAATAGTGAAGATGTATTATTATAATAAATAACATATAAAAACAGAATCTTAGTTTAATAAATAATTTATTCTTTTCAAATATATATTATTTGATTTATCAAATGAATTATGTAAAGATTGTTGGAAATACAAAACTAATTTTGATTATTTCAGTCAGAATTTTATTCAATAATAATAACAGAGATTCTGTTTATAGTTATTATGTAAGTTCTCTTTTTAATAGACTTTAACTTGTCAAAGGAATTTTATATTCAAATGTAGGTTAATAATTTTTTGGTTCAGTATTCGGCTCCAAAAATGCTTTAAAGATAAAAAAATAAAACAAAGATCAATCGATATTTACTTAGAGTTCTTAATAGCATTATCTCTGTTTTATTCAAAAAATATGAATGCTTTTTTAAAAATATTTAATATGCTGAGTTTTAAATTCTTAATATTTGATTTTTAGATTGGAATGTTCTTTTGAAATCAGTAATATATAATAAATTATAATTTAAGCTATTAAAATAGAAATCCTTTTCATCAATTGGACTTCTGGAGAAATAGCATAATTAATTTAAAGATATTAATTGAAATGAAGGATTTAATAGTAAACTTAATATAGTAAAGCCTAATAATAAATAAAATTTGATTTTTAGAATGTGTTAATTTTAGCAGAAATTGAAAGAATTTTATTTTTATATTAAAGTGATCTTAATTTTGAGAAATATAAATAAATATCAACTCCAAATTCTTCTATTGCTATGGTTTCTCAATTAAATTTAATTAATCTGTTTAAAAATTTATTAATCGTAAAAATGATAATTTTCTTCTTAGCAAAATTGATGATTTGAGATGAAAAATTATGCTAATGAATATTTAAATGGTTACAGAAAATAGAAATATTACTTATATATAATAATATAATAAATTTATACTACCAAGCTTAAGAATAAAATTAAAGATGAAGAAATCTATGGGACAAAGTTATCGTAAAATTCAAGCAGAATTTAGGTAAATATATATTTATAAGGAGCAGATCCCCTCGACCTCACTTAATGGAAGTTTAAAGTATGACAGTAATATAAAATAAAAGTAATTTAGTTATTTTTATTTTTGAAGATGGAGCAATGAAGTTCTCATTAAAAGAATACCTTGAGAGACAAAGAGGTAATATTAGAGAAAAGAAAACTTCATAAAGTGAAAATTTTATAAGAAAAATTGCTCCTATAAAAGTAGAGAACTAATTAAGCAAAAACAATTCACCTCGATTCAGAATAAAATTGGTTTAAAGTCCACTAAGTACTAACAAAACAACTTTTTCAAGATCTCCTTAGGCTTCATCGTTTCGAAATCGTAAAATACCTTTAGAATCAGATTATATTTGTGAAACTGAGATAAATATATAAACAAGTAGAATACATGGAGCATTTCAATAGACTGATATTGATGAAAGCACTATGCTATCAACTAAATCACCTACAAGATAGGAAAATAGAATTGAAAATTCTTCAGTAATTAAAACAAGGAATGTTATTAATTCTGTTGAAGATGAAAATCTATTGTAAGAATAGATTAAACCACCAAAAAGAACTAAAAAATAATTAAGACATTGTTTACTAAGAGCATTGAAAAAATTAAAAGAAATGAATATCACTACTAAAATGATGGTCTAAAAATAAATATTTTCTAAAAAGCCTTATTAGAAGCCATATTCATAAGAATTTATACATGCTGTTAAGTTGAATTAATTAGAAAAGGTACATTAATACCTAGAGAAAAATTAATATTTAGTTTTTGATTTTGATTTTTTTAATATGTCTGCCTTGCATTGGTCTAGTAAAAAAGGATTATATGAAATGTCTGAACTTTTAATTAAATATCATGCTGATGTTGATGCAATTGACATATTGAATAGGACACCTTTGTATTTAGCTATATAAGAAAATAACATACCTATTATTGAAGTAAAAATATTAATGAGTTATAGTTACTTTTAAGAAATAAAGCATATCCCTGGTCTACTTCGGTCACTGATTTGGGAGAAGTGGTTAAGGATAACAAGAAAGTTCGTAAAATTTTAACTTTGATCAGAAGAGTAATTATTAAAATTTAATTCTTAGTTGGATATTATCAACATGTGGGGCGAGAAGAAATTAAAAGAAGAGTTTTTTTGATTTGTATATATTTTATATTATCACCATTGCATTGTATTATTTAAGTGATGGTATAGTTATTGGGACGAAAACGTTGTCTAGTTTCTTTAAATCTAAGTTAACAATGAATCTTGTTCTACAAAATATCTTATACTAAAACTTAGAGGATCTATACTAACTAAATATATTGGTCCTTTATGTATCTTTTTATACAAAAAAATAAAGTACTTGTTTTCTAAAAAAAGGCAATTATCCTTTTTAAATGTGCCACATTATAGTCAAGCCTTCATCAGTTCCACAAACTATTAAATTATTATTATGCCATCCAAGATCAAATTAGTTAATAAAAAGTTTTGAGTTATGTTCTATGAATTATTTCACATATTCTAGATTTGGTAATGAATAATAAGTAAATTAGTAATTGGTATTCTTGCTAAGAATTATGAGAAAAGCTTATGTTTTTTCAATTTTTACATCAATTATCTAATCATTTAGACTAAGTTATTGAATCAATGTTTTTTTTGACAATAAATAAACTGAGATCTTATATTAGCTAACTATGATAAGAGAATCTTTATTTTAGTTAAAGTGCATTTTCTTAATGTTCTCTTCTGTTTTTAAACAATCAATTTTAATTCCTTAATCCCATTCAAATAACCAACCATCATTTGCAATAGTCCAAATCTTGTATTGTAATAATCTAAGGGCAGGAGTATTTTAATTATCAAATATTCGTGATTCTTATTTTGAATGATTTTAATCGATATTATTATGACCATTTTATGTAAAAGGTTATTAAACCCAAATCATATCTTAGATTGAACTTTGATGGCCACTTAATACTAATTACTAATTCTTTAGTAAATCAAATATAATAGCTGTTCTGTCTTTTGATGTAGTTCCAATATATTGATTACAAGGAGATATGGAAACTGATAAGATTTCTCTTTGATGATGATTATTTAAAGTACATAATTTGAAAACCTAAAGATCTTAGTTACTTTATAATTATTATTAATAAATGCTTAAATTAACTTTATCACTAACTTATACTTGTAAAGTTAGATCATCAGAAAATTGAACAATAGATCTAGGTAATAGAAATATAATTTAAACATTATTTGTTACTCTCTGATAATTTTCTTTTTTAATTTTTAAGTGCAAACATGCTTGTTAGATATAAGGTAATTAGAGTCCAATTTATAATGATTTTTGCATTCTAAAATTTGATTTGCTTATGCTTAATGCAATAAAGCTACAAGTCTATTTGGTTATAAGGCACCGATTTCTTAATGGCATAGAAGTAGTATTTGCCTAATAATTTCAACGTAAGAAAGAGGTTAGAATTCAGATTCAATAATAAGATTAGTTAATTAATGTTTTTGTTGGTCGTCTATTAATGAAATATAGATAAAAAGAAACCTAAACAATAAATTTGTAGACGTCCTCTTAATAATTCGACAGCTTCATTAATTTTTTGTTGTGACAAAAGTTCAATATAATAATTTTAGGTAATAATAAACATGCATTATTTCTTCTTTTCTTAGTTGACATATGTATTGAATAGTTATTCTAATGAATCAAAATCATGATTCTGAATATAGGTTGTAATTTAGGCAACAATGGAAGAATCAATCTTAAAGTCTAATGATTATAGTTGATCTTTACTTGCTTTTTAGATGAGTTATTAAATGGTTTGATAGTAACCATGATTGTTTAAATATTGAAGAAATATTTATAATTTTTCTTATTGTTTCATTAAATTAATAAATAAAAATGAAAAAATAATAGTTCGATATTCTTCATTAAATAAATTATCACAATTAAAAATTTATAGAATGATTTCTAAAATTCCTCTTAGGTTATTAAGAACCCTGAAACCAATGAATGTTTAAAGAGTATTAGCTCCATTTTGCACCTAATTGGAGAAGATCAATAAAAGTAATGAGTCTATAAACCTAAAAGGTGGATAAAAATTAGTGAAGATAGTTGAGAAAGAATTAAAATTTGAGAAATCAAATTATGTAGAGGATGAATCTGTTACTGATTTCATAGATAAGGCAGGTTTTAAATTAGTTGATGAGGAGAACTCTCATGAAGTAACATTAGAGAAAAAAGTTGGAGATATTAGAGTTGTTGTCTAATTTTAATCAAGACAACCTAATCCAGATGAAGAAGGTGAGGAAGAATAAGAATAAGAGAAATAAAATTAAGAATAAGAAGGAGAAGAATCATAAACTTCAAATGATTATGCTGACTTTACTGTGTATCTCTAAAAAGCAAATGGATAAATCTTATGCTATGAATGTACAACATCATAAGGAGATGTATAAATAATTATATTCAATTAGGTTAATGTTAATTTAGTCAGTTTGATTAAAGATTTAGAAAGCCATATGAAAATTCCAAGATTTGAGAGAGGATTGTAAGATTATAGTGGTCCAGATTTCATCACATTAGATGAGGTATTTATAATTACTATAAATTAGAGATTGTAATAAGCTATGGTGGATTATTTGAAAGGATTTGGAATTAATAATTAATTGGGTGCATTCATTGAACATTACTCATTAGACAAAGAATAAAGATTGTATATCAAATGGCTAGATTCATTGTAAACTTTTCTAAAGAATTGAACAAGTTATTCATTCATAATTGTATATTAATAGTCATTATTATTTATTCAATTTTGACTTCAATCTCATATGAATTCTCCATGTTGATAATAATCCTAATATTCCTGAAGTCTATAACAATATCAAACCATAAAATTTTCCTGAAAAATTTGTTATTATGTAAAATAATGAATTGATAGAGAATGAGAGACTAAAAATTATATACATTAAATCTACTGAGTAGATAAACTATAATCAAATATTTATTTTACTTTATGAAAATAAACTATCTAAAATGATATTGTTGTTGACATCATTGCTGAGCAGCAGAATCCTAAAATGAATGACATCACATATACTAAGTAATCAATTTCAAATATATAGATTCCCCATGCTAATAAACATCCCAATTGATATACTCCAAGAATATAATATAATCCACTTTTAATAATTACACAATTCTTACGTTATTTTTTATTAAAAGTCTCCAAACAATCCCATATAAAAACATCCAAAAATCTATCCTATTCCAACATATAGAAATCCTTCATATATTGTAGCTGCTCTGGTCTCTGGGTCTAATACTGAATTGATTGTCAATAGATTAGGTAATTGCAATAATAAGAAGGACATTACACTTCCAACATTGAAAATCAAAATAATAAAATAAAAAAATCCATCCAAACACAGAGTACTTAAAGTTAAATATAAATTTCCAAAGTAATTATTTTTTACATATTCCTCAATCGAAATCGTTTTCTAATTTGCATAAATCCATTACAAATCATCAGAAGATTTTGGCTTTTCTTAAAGAATATCTTATAAATTATTTTCCTCATATGAAAAACTTTGGATAGTAAAGAATTAATGAGTTTGTCTCATTTGAACCTATCGATTCATTATTTATTAAATCTCTTCTCTTTCACTTTTAACTTCTTCAAAATCAATTAGTTTATTGTATAATTCATTTTATTCATTTTTATTATTCATTTTTTGTAATTCTAATCTTAATGTTTTTTGATTCTCTTTGCCATTCTCAATAAGTAATTAAGTTATCATTTTATTAAACTTTTTAAATTTTTATTTCTTTTTTTCATCTGGTATTGTTAAGAATAGAGAACATAAAAACAAAGAACTGATTATCAATATAATATAAAAATGTCTTAATGTTTCTACTAGTGACCCTCTACTACAAAAATGAACTAACAAATTTCCTATCAAACTACCTATCAACCATTAAAATTGATGTCTACATATTAAATTATAAAATCCTATACATACATAAAGTAGAATGAACTATAGTAAATAATCTTTTCCCGACCTACTGCCAAATTAGACAAATAATAAAGCATGGAAAAAAGCAATAAAGTCTTACAAAATCCTGAAATAAATGAAAATATTATAGTAAATGTCCACATTATGTAGACATTACAAATTGATTCTTGAGAATCTTTACAAATAGTTGCAAACTAAAGAGGTAATATAAACAATATAGATCCAAAAGAAGAAAAGAAAAATATATACCTGAACTAAACTTTTAATAATAGCATGGAAATCATTGGTAAACTCAAAGGAGCAGCCATTTCATAACAAAACCATCTACGAAAATTAATATTTGATTGTACTAAATATTTCCAAAACTTACTAGCCCTGAATCAGGAACTAATGGAAAATTGGTCGAATAAATAAAATCATAAATTTGCATCATTACCAACTTCCCAGTAATTGTGAATGCTTTAAGTAGCATATACAAAAAACAGCAATAAGTTGAAAGCCATAATTCTTTTGCCGATTTTTATTCTCGTATTCTCAATTAATATCTATATTAAATGAATTATAATTCATTCATTTACTATAAATTTTTATATGTTTAATTGTCTTAAACTAAGATTTTAATTTTGATAATATTGTATAAACAATATAATATTATTGAAAATCATTCATAGTTCTAAAACCTAATCTCTTTCAGTTTCTTCTATTAAGGAATCATGTTCAATATCAAGACTTTGTCTGATACTAAAAGAAGGGAGATAGGATTTGCCACTTTGACATATTCTATCTTCATTAATATGATATGAATGTAGAAAAGCCAATTCTGTTTTAATTTTACGATTAGGAAATAAATAGGGAGTTTGAATTACATCAGTACTTGTCTAAATTTGAAATTCTTCTGTTTAATTAATATTATTAGTTGATTCATTTCTCTAAGTAATTTGATTAATTGATTAAGATTACAAAATTTCTAAAGCTTGATCAGCAGAAATTCTTTTTTTAGGATTGAATTCCAACAATCCCTATAGAATTAAGTTTAGAACACTAGAGTATTAAGTAATAGATCGTTTAGTGTATAGACATTTTTAGTTTTTATGTAATAATTCTTTAGTTTTTTCAGCATTGAATAAAGGTTCTCTAGTCATTCTAAAAGTTGAAAATATTGTTACATTCTATAAAGCATGGCTCCTATACCAAACATATCAATTTATGGAGTATAAATAAATTTCTCAGATTTATATTTGTTTTCCTCATAATTCAAGATTTCAGGTGCAATATAACCAGGAGTTCCACAAATAGAAAATGGTATTTCAGGAGTATTAAAAATAGCTAATCCAAAATCAATAATCTTGATATTATCAATTTTATTTAACTTAGTAAGTACAACATTTTCTAACTTCATATCTCTATGAATAATATTTTACTGATGACACTATCTAATTCCTAATAACAATTACTAAAATAATAAATAAAATTTTATACTTAAAGTATACTCCTTACAATAGGTTCTGTCAAAAGATGTCCACGGTTTTTAATAAATTTATGTAGTGTTTCTCCTTCCAAATACTCAAAAATTAAGTAATAACTATTTTCTCCTTCATACAATTCTTACAATTTGATTAAATTAGGATGTTACTTTAATGTTCTTAATATTTCTATTTCATTTACTAATCTGTCAAATCTATCAGATGTTTTCTTTTTTCTTATGTATTCTTTACTTACACATTTGGCTGCGTAACTAATTTGAGTTGCATAATCTTTAATCATTATTACTTTACAAGATGCTCCAGTTCCAATTTAATCATGAGAAGAATAGAAATTTGAAATTCCTGTCATAAATATTTTATTAGATATGCGCTATTTCAACTACTCCAATTAATCACTAATCCCTTTAAACCATTTTAGTTTATTGTTATATCTTATCCCAAATTCTTTTATTTTATGATTTTCTCCTATTTTCCAACTTATTTGCTGTTTCAGATTTAATACAACCTCGTATTTTGCTATATGTTCTAACTAATAATTTATGCATCTTATATACTATACATTCTCTCTTATCAAGATTTTATTTTATAACAGCTGTAAATGATAATGCTTATTCACTATTAGATGTTTTCTTATCACTTCACAACAAAAAATCACTTAATCAAATTCCATAATATAATTTATAAATAAACATATATATCAAACTTAAAATCAATATTACAGATATAATGATATAATGTTCTATTTTAAATGATAATAATATTCATTAGATTCAATGTCCTATTTTTGTTAAACAATTTAAAAAACGTCCAAAGCACCCACTATATTGTTAATCAGTTTGTTCATATTTTACTTCCATTTTTTATTTGCAATATAACAATCCGATTTCTAAATTATATCTAAATTTTTTTACCTGCTTTTTGTATGAAGGATTCAATTAATAGAGTTCATACAAAACATCTTGAGCTAAAGAATATTCTTCTAATTTTATATAAATTTAACCTAATATTAAATAAAAAATACTTAATCCATATAAAGCTTTCTAATCTGAAGGATCCTCTTATAAAATTTCATCATATATTTTTCTATCATTATTATTTATAATGGCTACTTGATTTCTTGATATTTTTTTTCCTTCTTCTCCATAATTCCAGATCCGTAATTGTAATTTTAATTTTAATTTTAAATTTAACTTTAATTTAAAACTTGGCTTTCTCTTCTGTTGTCTGATTGTACAGATTCATCATTACTAAAGTAATCTTAATCAGGATGAATTTCTGGTTACAATTATAATGCTTTAGCTATTATAATAAATTGTATAGAATCACCATATGTCAAGCTAAATGGATAATTGTAACACTCATATTTATTTTCCTTACTCTATTTATCTTTTTCTTTTTCTTTTTCGAGTGTTTCGAGTCTAGAAAATCCTAAGTCAAAATTTCCACATTTCATGAATGTTTTTGCTTCTATTTTAAATAACAGTTACCTATTTACAATTATACTCTATCTGTATCATTTTGATTTTAAACTCCTTCTCTAATAATTTGGTTCAACATATGTAAAGCTTGTAAAAATAATCCCTTTTTATGACAGATTTTAGCTAAAAATTAGAATTTTAATCAACCTTTTTATAAAAGTAGATTAAATTTTTATTCTTTATTTATTTTTTTAACTTAATCTATTTTGGTCTCATTTATAATTTATTCAGACTATTTATAAGCTTCATCCAAATTTTTTTAGAGTATTAAACACTCAACTTAAGATTATTTTAAATTAAATACTTTAAAAATACTTTGCATCATAAGTATCTAAAGCTAAAAGCTTTTTTTAAGCTTAGAAAATTTCTTTTTTTTATAATAAATTTTTGCCTAAAATATTTATAATTATTACATTTTTTTAAATCATTTTCAGAATAATTTGATTGGAGATCAGATTGAGGGAAGTTATTATTATTTAATTCATTATTTAAATTTAATAAGGCTTTTTTTATTTTAGACTTAAGTTATAAAAATTCAGCGTATGAATCATAAAAATGAATTTCATAATTTTCGTTTCCTTCTGATTTTTCAAATTCTTTTAATTTTTCTATCCAATTATTTTTAAAATTAAAAATTCTTTGTGAAATTATAATAATTTCTTTCATGATATATCTAATCCAAATTTCCATTTAATGTTTTAATTTTTATGTAGTTGAGACATCGATTATATTTTAAAATCTAATTTTGCATCCCTCACATACTTTATTGATCTTAGAAGAAGGATTCATAACCCAATATTTGATTTTTTCTTTATTGCAATTTAGACAATTCTTTGAAGATTATGCCATTAAGATATTTAAATTAATTAATATAATAATGAAATAATTTTTTTTTGATTTAATTTCAAGGGCTCCTTTATTAATATGAATGAGAAAATGTTAAAGATGGCTAACTTGTAATAATTTGCAAGTTTTCTTGTAGGTATTTTAAATTATATAATTCATTGTAAATTAGTCAGAATTTCATTTCTTCACTAGTCAGAAAATTTAATTCTATTATGATTTTACAAGTACATCTAAGCAATCTCTTTTGAACTCTATATTTATCTAATAGTGTAAAAAATCAAATGCAATCTTTATGTTGGTTTTTCTTATTATTCTAGTATTATAATAATTATTATTATTTCAATTATTATCATTTTAGCACTCTATTTTTTATTAAATTTCTAATAAAATACAAATACAAATTAAAGAACTAGAATGGAAATGTACAAAAAGATTAAAGACTGCATAAAGTATAATCCATGGAGTAGCTTAACTTATGATTTCATTAATGGTAGTAAAATGAATGAAAATTAATATTGGGCATTATCATTATTTCAGGACTTGTAAAAGATTATCTTTGAATAAGAGTGAAAGATAAAGTAAATAATAAGAAATAAATAGTATTTGAGATTAGATAGTAATATATTTGGGATATAATAGATATAATAAATATTTAGATTAAAAGTCTATTAATATTAGGAATCATAAATATTCATTCATTAATATCGCTTCCTGTTAAGTGAGAGTGTCTTTTTTTATCTTAGAGCTCTTCACCTTAATTATCAAGAGGTTTTGCAAAAACGACAGTCACATTCTTATCATTATTTTTGCTTTATCTTTTCTAAGTATAAGTAGAAAGATATACTTATTTATCTTCTTCTTCAACATTACCCATTTCATAGTATTTGATATCAGCCGATAATTAATCATCCAAAGCAACTCTTTTGAGATGTTATTTTCTTTAATAGATTCCACATAAGACAGCAAGTAAGATGATCATAATGTTATAGATGTAAACTGAATAACCAATATTTATGTCAAATCCATATTCAGCTTATTTAGTTAATAGAAGTTCATTTGGATACCCTCCAACAATAAATCCTATTGGTCTTATTAGACAATATGCCTAAATTAATATTTAGATATTACTCCAACTAACGAAGTAGAAACAATTCCAATATAGAGATCGTATTTTAGACCAAGCAACCCTAGAATTACTCCAGATATTATGATGGAAGTAGTTAAAGGTAAGAACATTAAATCTGTTTCTATCTAATAGTAAAATAATGATTGAAACATTAATGATAATATTAAACCAACACTAAATCCAAAATTAAATAGAAGAAAAAAGAATCTCTACATTGAAGCATTAAAATATATAAATGCTACTATTACTCCTGATCCTATCACAACCCATAATGCTGCATAACTAGATTCACTATTCAATGTAGCTTCTCCAATTATAATAGTAGTAAATCCAAAACCCATTATTGAACCTAGAATCATAGATGACAATTATGCCAATTAATATCCTAAAAGTAAAAAGAATATTCCAACACTCCAAAGAACTATGCTAAATAACCATTTAAAATCTATAAAAAATTAAGTCACAGGATTATAAACTAATATTGGACAAGCAGCTGATGATGTAAGTATAAATAAATATCCATCTTTATTCCAATCTTCAACTGTCATTATATCTGATTTAGAGCATTTTAATTGTAATTTAAAAGTCTCTTTTTCTACAATACCTCTTCTTTCAATTACTAATCCTTTAAATGGTTTATTCTCTTTCAAGAAACTTAATTAATCCTTATCTACGTTGCTTTATTCCGAACAAGGAGTACATGAATTATTTTCTGCAATTATAAGGGATTATGATTAATCCTTATCAACTTTATTAAGAAAATTTTAATCATCCTTGTCATCATCATCATCTTTATTTGTTTATATGACTTCAGATTCCTTATTTTTATCATCTGTTTCTGAAGTTTTTATATCTGTAGAGCTACTATTGCTATTTTCATCATTTTTTCCTTCTGTTGTTTATTTATTTTCATTTGTACTTTCACTCTTATTTGTTGTTTCAGTTGTTGTACTTGGTGTATTATTAGATTCAGAATTTATTTCTTCTAAAATACGTTTACTGCTCAATTTCTCACATTTATAATCTAAAAGCCCACACAAAGTGATGTATAAGGAATTTTGATCGTTTCCATAAGCTAAATTTATTGCTTTCGCTTTGCTGAAATCAAATTTTATGTCATTATTATATTAAACTTGGCATGATAGTAAGGTTGTGAATAGAATTGATACTATAAAAAATTTCATCATAATTAATAATGAAATATCACAAAGTTAAATGGGACTAAGTACCAATAGTAGATGAGGCTAGCCAGAATTATCTTGATTAATTGAATAATCGAAATCATTTTCATAACTTTCCTACAAACTAATGGTTTAAAAGAAGATCTGATCAAGTAAAACCTCAGTATCTGTATTATCCGGAAGAGAGAAGATTATAGATGGAACTAAAATAGATTTTCAGGGTATATCAATCGATTAACATCTATAGACTTTAGATTGCAACAATCAAGGAGTTCTTACTTTGACTCATCTGTTTATGCTATTCAAACACTATGGATATGGAGTGAGTATTAACGATTTATAGACTATCTACTAATTTATAGATTATAACAAGGACAAGGCATTATCTTTAGATGAATTTAAAGGTCTTACAGAAAATCAAGAAGCCTTATCAGCATTTAGAATTATGATGGCTAAGATTGAAAAAACCTTAGAAAATACTGAGAAATATATTCCTTTATCTGTTGGAGCTATGCTTAGCCATATTAGTTATTTGGTTCAAAGAGAAAAGTAACTCAAAATGATCCTCAGTGAATAAAGTATTTCAATCAAATTCCAAGCTTTTCGCTAACTGATTTAAGAAACCGAAAAAAAAACGATTGCTGATGAAGCTTATTCACTCTTTCTTAAAGCATAAGCAGAATTCTATAGAAAACTTAAAAGATAAAATTCAGTAGATTTAACAATCAAAGTCAGAAAATCTTTCTCAACTATTAATGGATTATAACCATTATTGTTTAGAAATATGCTTATGAAAGATGCTAGTGAACTAAAAGATCTTGCTAAAATGGTTAAAATTTAAAGCAAAGTCAATTAAGAAACTTTTGAAACTGTAAATGAATCACTGGAAGAAAGTTCTTTATCTAATATTGAATCTAATGATTTAGATTTAGTAGTCAAAAGTGCTTAAAGAAAAGGAAAGCTCTAAGCACATCAAGAAATTAGAGAATTATTAACTTAAAGAGAACTTCCTAAAATTGTTTCTTAACATAAAAAATAATTAAGTGTAGTAACAGAAGACTTACCTCCTGTTCAATTCAATTTGAAAAAATGTAATTCAACCAAAAATAAAAGTCTATTAGAACGTCAATTAAAGTTGTAAAAAATAATTCCTGCTGAAGAATTGTCTCAATTTAACTTTCTTTCTTCAACAAGATCAAATAAAAATTATAGTTCTACTTAAGAATAAACTTCTTCAGAAAATTAAGGCGGATGGTCAAATAGTATATTGTCTCTGAAATTGCCAACCTTATAATGAATTTTTCATTTTATATATATAAGATAGGATATTTATTAAATCTCTAATACAGTCAATAACGTATATTTCAAATTTATTTATAAATTATTTTACTTACTTAAAATTATTTTGATTTGTAATTTTATGTCATTAAATTGTTTCTATCTAAACTGAAGGTTACCTAATATCTAATTTTATAAAATAAGCAACCTTAGAATCTTAATTATTCATATTTTTTATTTACATAAGTTCCGATTTAATATGTAATGATATGTCTATCCTTTTAAATAACTAAAACAAGTTCTTAAGTCTTAATCTATCTGATAATCAATTTATTANTTGAAAAAACCTTAGAAAATACTGAGAAATATATTCCTTTATCTGTTGGAGCTATGCTTAGCCATATTAGTTATTTGGTTCAAAGAGAAAAGTAACTCAAAATGATCCTCAGTGAATAAAGTATTTCAATCAAATTCCAAGCTTTTCGCTAACTGATTTAAGAAACCGAAAAAAAAACGATTGCTGATGAAGCTTATTCACTCTTTCTTAAAGCATAAGCAGAATTCTATAGAAAACTTAAAAGATAAAATTCAGTAGATTTAACAATCAAAGTCAGAAAATCTTTCTCAACTATTAATGGATTATAACCATTATTGTTTAGAAATATGCTTATGAAAGATGCTAGTGAACTAAAAGATCTTGCTAAAATGGTTAAAATTTAAAGCAAAGTCAATTAAGAAACTTTTGAAACTGTAAATGAATCACTGGAAGAAAGTTCTTTATCTAATATTGAATCTAATGATTTAGATTTAGTAGTCAAAAGTGCTTAAAGAAAAGGAAAGCTCTAAGCACATCAAGAAATTAGAGAATTATTAACTTAAAGAGAACTTCCTAAAATTGTTTCTTAACATAAAAAATAATTAAGTGTAGTAACAGAAGACTTACCTCCTGTTCAATTCAATTTGAAAAAATGTAATTCAACCAAAAATAAAAGTCTATTAGAACGTCAATTAAAGTTGTAAAAAATAATTCCTGCTGAAGAATTGTCTCAATTTAACTTTCTTTCTTCAACAAGATCAAATAAAAATTATAGTTCTACTTAAGAATAAACTTCTTCAGAAAATTAAGGCGGATGGTCAAATAGTATATTGTCTCTGAAATTGCCAACCTTATAATGAATTTTTCATTTTATATATATAAGATAGGATATTTATTAAATCTCTAATACAGTCAATAACGTATATTTCAAATTTATTTATAAATTATTTTACTTACTTAAAATTATTTTGATTTGTAATTTTATGTCATTAAATTGTTTCTATCTAAACTGAAGGTTACCTAATATCTAATTTTATAAAATAAGCAACCTTAGAATCTTAATTATTCATATTTTTTATTTACATAAGTTCCGATTTAATATGTAATGATATGTCTATCCTTTTAAATAACTAAAACAAGTTCTTAAGTCTTAATCTATCTGATAATCAATTTATTATGATTTAAATAATAAAAAATTTGACTTGATATAAATTATTTATTAAATCCGAATGGAAATTTAAAATTATAATTCATTTTTGGAAATCCTAGATAAAAAATTATCTTATTGTAATCTAATTTGTGAAACTTATTGCATAAATATCATTTGAATGCTTTTCAAGAAAAATTTAGTCTTTTAATTAAATATCTTTAAAGAGAATATTTGTATTTTTGATACACAACAATGTTATTAAATTTTAAAATTTTCACATTTCATAAATCTATTCATAATGTTATGAAAAAAGATCAAAACAAATTTACATATTTTATTCTAGAATTTATTTGATATAATTTAATAAGAATATAATAATATTTAAGTACTCAAAAATGAAGTACAATAAATAATTTGGCATATATTAAAAGAACAAGATATATAAAAAGCCTTAAAAAATAAAAAAATATAAATTAGCAAATACTTATTTTATTGAATAAAATACCTTTAAATATATATATTTTTCATTGATCATTTTAATTACAAATGGAAGAAGTATAAGGACATTTAAGAATTTCTAATTATTATGAAAGAAACTTGCTTATTGTATTTTTTGAAGAATTACTACGTACAAAAGAGGGACAACTAAATAATATAATATTGATTTGATTATATAAATTACAAGATTATTTTGATATAAAAATCATTTAATTATCCAATTATAATTTAAATTAATAATCATAATTTTTCGTAGATTTAAAAATAAAATTATATTTTGTCGATAGTATGATAACATTTAAATTTTGTAATCAAAGATAATGAAAAGAACTTAAAATAGCTTATAAATTATAGTAATTGAGTAAGGTTAATAAAAAAAATAAATAATTTCAAATGAGAAAAGTAACTTTTTTCTCTTTTTTCACAATTGGCTACTTTTACATTTTCTTAATTAATGATTATAATTCATAGAGTTGTTCATCACAGGTTTTTTTCTAAATTAATATTTTTAATTACCATTAATTATTCATATCTTGCTGATCTTTTAATAGGTTATTCATCAGGTAAAATGAGTTTAGATTTTTTAATTTATGGTAAGATAGCCACAATATCCCTTTTAGTCTAAGTCTATGATACATTATTTGAATTAGGTCCAATAAAAGTTTATTGATTTGTTTCGTCATCGTTACAATCTTAAGGGTTGATAGGATTTAATGGTTTTTATTTTTTCTTTGTTAATTTTTATTGTAAATTTTTGACAACAATGATCTTTGGAACAATATTGTTAAATTGATTGCTTTCCAAACTTTATCCGACAATTTGATTGATAGGAATAGAATTAGCTTCAAGAATTAATGAATTCTTTCTACTTTTAATGATTTTGCAATATTGTTAGATTGAATCTTATTTAAATTAGAAGTTGTTAATTACCTGAGTGAATTATATTAGTTTCAATTTATTCTTCATTTTGCATATATTCGAAAGACGACAATTATTGTGTTTTTTATGGAGGGTAATGGAGTTATCGTTTAAGTTGCTTAATAAGATTGAAATCATTATATGGGCTAAGAGATTAGGATCGTAGTTGTCTATATTAAAAAGGCTAATCACATTATGAATTCATAATTATTAATAATGGCAGAAGAGATTTCAATAACATTTGATGAATAAAATAAAATAAGAGTGTTAGATGCTGAGAAGTATAGAGAGACAGAATAATTGAAGATAGAAAGCATGGATTTTATAAAGAAGGTGTTAGCTTTAGATGAGGTTGTTCAAAATTTGAATGAGACTCTTGAAGAATATTCAAAAAAAATAGAAATAGAAAAATTAAGAGCTATAGGAGAGGTATTTAATATTTGATATTAGATAGCGAAATAAAGTAGAAACAGAATAAGAGAATAGAAAGAAAAAGTTGATGGAGTTATCAAATATATTAAATGAAAGAAAGGCTGAATTAGATAGATATTAAATAGAATTAGATAGTTTATAGAAAGTTGAATAGGATTAAAGAATATTAATTGAGAAACTAAGTAATAATGAGGCATGATAAGTTAATTAAATATATAAAATTATATATGTTCCATTAATCGTAATCTCTAAATAATCTTAGAAAAGATCATCGATATAAACCTTTATAAATAGCAGGAAGATATCCAGAAAGTGCTGATTTTAATAATAAATCTAAGTTCTTTTTACCTTCAATAAAAATGATTGAACAGAGCAGTGTGTTTACAGAAAAATAGAGATAATTAAGATTACCTTAATTATAAAATCATTTAGCCGTAAGTGATTAACTCTAACGTAAGAAGATTGAGAAAAGAAAGTCTATTACACCTAAATATTAAAAGAGATAAACAACTATTTATGCAATGATATCTAAGGGAGGATGTAATATTAATAAAGATACCAAAATCAATTAGGATTCATCAATTGTATGTCCCAAAATTCTTGAGAAGTATCAATCTATTATAATCTATAGTATTGGGTATAAGTTATTTGCAGTCTCAGATGGACACGGTGTTAATGGTCATCATGTATCTAATTTCATTAGATAAACATTACCTAAATATTTGCATAAGTATTTGGGAGATAATCATGAAGATATTTAAATGCATATAGCTAGAGCATTTGCAATTACAAATAGAGAAATTTGGAACTCTGACACTGATACAAATCTTTCTGGTTCTACAACTGTTTCAGTTCTCATTACTAAAGATATTGTAGATACAAATATTTATTATTGTTACTAGATTTATACAGCTAATGTTGGAGATTCAAGAGCTATTTTATGTAGATTTGATAAAGTTTGGTAAGTCGTACCATTAACAAGAGATCATAAGCCAGATGATCCTGAAGAAATGAAAACTATTGTTGATGCTGGAGGAAGAGTAGAATAATAGAGAGGTATAGTAATTATTTAAAGTAGACTATTACGGTAATCCAATAGGACCTTTTAGAGTTTGGTTATAATATATTCAAACCCCAGGTTTAGCAATGTCTAGATCTTTTGGAGACAAGGTTGGAGCTTAAGCAGGAGTTACAGCCATACCAGAGATAAAAGAATTTACATTGACTAATCATGATCAATTTATTATTGTTGCCTCTGATGGAGTTTGGGAATATTTGAGTAATGAAGAGGTATTTTATTTAATAATTAGGTGATGAGTTTAGTGATACCATACTTTGAAAAGGATAATCCTGAACATGCTGCTGAAAAAGTACTAAATGAAGCTATTCAAGCATGGAAAAGAGTAAATATTTTCTTTTTTATTTTAGAATAGCTTAGCTAGAGACGATATCACTTGTATTATCATCTTTCTATGACTTCAATAAGAAAAGACATTATGAATAAAATCTGTTTTTGTTCTTATTTTATTACAATCAAACTTTTAAATTTATATAATACTTTTTATATGAATACTGCTAATAAAGCAACTAGAGTAACGCTTTTACTTGCAAATGTTTGTTGCAGAATACTATTTTTTTATTTCTTTTGGTTAGCCTCTGTAGATGGAGATTCTTCATTATAAAATAGACAATTTGCTTTTATTAATGAAATGTGGGCTTGGGAACAATATCCATATTCATCCATCTAAGCTTTTTAATCAACTGAATGTCCTGAAGATTGGATATTATTGACATCTTTTAATTGGCCTGGAACTAAAGAACATTTAAATTCAAAAGGAGAATTCATACCTAAATAATCATCTTAGAGTTTTTTTTTATGGACTACAACAGAATATTAAAAGGCATTTATTTTGTGTGGTTAATAAATCAAACATAATGTGATTTCAACAGTTAATTCAACACAAACCTGTGAAGATAGGGACATGAAAGATTGTGGAATTGATAAAATGTAATTTTGTATTGATTCTGATCTAACTTGTCCAATAAATAGCATTTAGATAGAAATGAATGATTAAACTATTGATATACTTACTACCAATATTGAGACCAATAAAGATAATATGCCTATCAGTCTTATTCGTATTGATTCATACATACCTTGTGCAACAAAGAATGAAACTAATGCCTAGCCAGAAGTATAATATGACGAAAATTTAGAAGAATAACCTTAGTCTTGTTTGGAATTGGATAAGGAGTACATCGAAGTTAATAGCATTACTGATCAGCTTTACTTTTAGATTAATGATGCTCCAGATGTATTCATTGATAAAGATGGAACAAAATGTATTTAATTTAATTAATTAGCTTTGTTTTATAAACCATATCCATTTTGGAATAAGGAATGCAATGGAGAGATGTTTTTGGTAGCGTAAAAGCAAGAGAACACATTGAAAAATTACAGAAACACTGAATATGCAAATTTCATATTAGTGATAGTTTATCTATTAGTTTGTAATTATGGGATACCCATGATTCCATACATATTTAGATGTGTAGGTAAGTCTAAGAATTTATATAAGGTCCATTGAGTTTGAAAACATTGACTTATTTAGATTATTTATTGAGACTTGTATTATCAGGAACGATGACATATTTATCATTTGCAAATTTAGATTATGGGAGACAATTGTTGGATAGTTTGGACGTACTTTGGGGGATGTAATGCATAAAAGAAGAAGAAGTAGTATTTTAAGATCAATACAGACTATCTATGGTAGATTTGCAGATCAAATAGAAACATAAAGAGCATTAGATATAGTGGCAGTAACATTTTCATTTGTGCTATGGGCAATTGAGGGATCTCTATTATGGTTGTTAGGTTGTTAAGAAACAATTAAATAATGTAGACGTGGATACCGTAGATTAAAAATAAAAAAAGATGTTGAAAATGCTTTTGATAGATTAAATCAAAGTTAATCCTTATAATGAACATTTATTTATAAAAAATTAATTTTTCATTAATAATATGTTCAAATTTGGAAAAGAGAAATTCACAAAGAAATCTTTACCAAAGAATTTTGCAGATTAAATTCTTAATCTTGAAATGGAGATTGAATTAAATGATTAAGTTTAAATTGAACTCATATAAGATTTGATTTCTCTTTATATGGTAATTCTTACATATATTAAATATCTATATAGGAGGGAGTAGAATATTATGAATCAATTAAAGATAGAAGACATCTATATTTTTAGAGAAAGTTAAATGCACTTATGTTAAAACCAACATTCATTAATACTACTACAAAATATGAAGAATCTCAAAAACCAAAAGAGAAAGATGAAAATCAAATTAAAAGATCGAAATTCTAAGAATAAACTCGTAGAATTGAACTTGATCTTATTTATAGTTAAACTGAATCAAAAGAGGTATTCTTTACATTTTTTTGATTGAGGCTTAAGTTAAAGGAATAGTTGAAAATCACACAAATTAAGTTATTAAAATTGAAAAAATCATCAAAAATGAAATTGCAAATTAATCTGATGTATTTCAATAACGTCTAGAACGTCGCCGTCGTTCTAAATTAACACATTCTCTGAGTCAACCTGAGATTGATCTATAATCTTAAAAATCTGGTAATAGTAATAAAAAGAAATAAATTGAATTACATGAATAAGTAGGTATTCAGAAAATCTATTTCATTTTTAGTTTAAATCAAATAAATAATTCATGAAGAAGATGAAACAGCTGCTAATAGAAAAGATTCCACATTAAAAAAAACTTAGGAAAAGAAATGGGAAATCATTCATTAAGCCTCAATAATATAAGACAATAAGTAATTTTTTATATTTTAAATTTTAGAAAACGAACTAATAGTTTAATATCAAGAAGAAGATCTATATTTCTAACTACAAAACAATTGACATCAATCAAAAGATCTTTCAGTGATGGAGCAATAAGATCTTTAGAAGAACCAAAAGAATGATTTAATATTTATTTACATATAATTATTTATAAGTAATATTTTATTACATATTATCTCTTACTTTTTTTTGAAAAGAAAAACATATAATAATACCTCCAATAGTCTAATATAGATTATATTCTTCCTTATTTCTATTAAAAATCTCTATTTAAAAACTTTACAATTATATATATATTTTAATTTGATAATTTTATGAATTAACTTGAAGATGGAGAGGTTCCTGCAAAATCTGAGTCTAAAAAAAATCCTTCATAAATATTCTCCTCTTCTTATAGAACTAAGGTTTGTGAACATTTCAAAAAAGGTTCTTGCACTAAGGGCAATAAATGTTCTTATATGCATCCAAAAGAATTATAGAATGTCACTCGTATCTGCAAGTATTACTTAGGATAAGGATGTTAAAATCAATAACAATGTTAATATTCACATGATTTATCAAAATATTAATGCAAATTTTTTTTTGCCACGAGTCATTGCAAAGGATAAAATTGCAGATTTTCTCATGATCTTTGGGAAAATGAAATTGCTAAATAATAATGGGTTGCTGATAATGATTAATTTTTAAGAGATTGCTTTTAACGAAGAGTAATTGTATTATTTTATTTAAGGGAACCACTGGTTTAGGATCAACCTATGACGAATAATACAAAATGAAAATTTTTGAATAATAAAAAGCTAGCTAAAGTATTTAAATCATTCATATATATTTTAAGATTAAAGATCCTACCCCTTTTATCCTGTTAATTATATTCCACCATAATAATAATAAATGCCTGTTAATATATTATAACAAATATCTCCTCAAATACTGTAAGAGAGACCTAAATTATAAATTAACAATGATTTAGATCCAATTAGTGATGATGAATAATAAGGAGAAAAAAACTAATAATCAAAATTAAATACTTATGAATAACATAATCAATTTTAGTTACCTTAAATTACTATTTCACCTATTCCACAAATTCAACCATTTCATATTAATGCCTAATACATTTCATAAAGATAACCTATTAATTAAAAAAACTAAAATACATATTCTCCATTTTTTCTGACTAACCAATAATAATAATCAATTTTTTAATAGTCACAATAACAATATTAAATGAAATATTATCAATCATAACCTTAAATTTTCATGCCATAATATCATCAACAATAATAATACCCAATATCACAATAATAACCTATTAGTGAAGATTAACAAGATTAAATGTTATAATAACAATAATAGATAATGTTACAATAATAATAATCATAGATAATCTAGCAATAAAAATAATCGTAATTATATTAGTTATAATAACAATAATAATAATAGTAATAATTACAATAATAATAGTAATAGTAATAGTAATAATAATAGTAATAGTAATAATAATAGTCACAGTAATAGTAATAATTACAATAATAATAATAATAATAATAATAATAATAATAATAATAATAATAATAATAATAATAATAATAATAATAATAAT